CTGCATTGCATATATGTTTAAAAAGAAATTCAAGAATGTCATTTAAAAATAAAAAATATCGAAAGTATACATTTCCTTAAATGTTCTTTCACTGGTGCCACTACCCTTATATATGATTTTCGTAATCAGCGCATCGAATATTGAAACTTGGTATATATATGTCATAATATATACCATAAGTTTCAAAAAAATCGGAGTTGTCAATATTATAACTCAAGTCTTATTTAAAAATTTTTATAATTACTATTTCGAAAACGAAGAAAAACATTTTTGCCAAATTTCAATAGAATCATTATGTTCTTAGGAAAATATTTGCAAAACCACAAATTTTTTTAGATGACCCGACAAAAAAGTTGTAAGTGGAAAAAAATGTGGAATTTTTTCAAGAAAAAAATTTTCAAAATCACTTATTAATCACCTTATTAATAAGCACATATATTTAATGAAATCCACTAATTCTTAAATAGAAATTTATGTTTCAAGCATTTAATTCTAATAATGAATTACTGTCAGAATTCTTATTGTATATAGAATAAGGTGGATGGGGTGGATGGTCACCTTACTAATTTGAAATAGTTAAAAAATACATTAATTAGTAGTTTTTTTAAATTAAAAATTAGCTGGAACTGTTAATAATTCAGGTATATAGTAAATGAATTCGCACTCTTTCATTATTAAAAAAAACTTATACTTAGATTTAGAAAGCATTCCTAATATAGAAAAAAATTAAAATTTTTTCATATATTCTTCAAAATTTAAAATTATTTTATTCTAGAGCTGTGCAAAATTCGAACCGAACCGAGTTTAGTTCGGTTTTGGGGCGCCGAAATGTCGAATGTCGAATATTCGACATTCGAACTGAGCGACTGAAATGTCGAATTTTAGAATTCGACATTTTAGCGTACTAAAACCGAACACAACTCGGTTCGGTTCGAATTTTGTAGTAACTCGAATGTCGAATGTTCGACATCCGAACTGGGCTAGTTCGAATGTCGGTGGGCGAAAAAATTCGAACAGTTCGGTTCGAATTATTTTGCACAGCTTTATTTTATTCTAATAATTTATTCCCGAAAATTACTTCTGCATTTCTATATCCTTAAATTGAACGCAGAATTTATGCAAAAGATATTAGTTCCTTTCTATTCCAAAATAGACTTTGGGCTCCACCTTTTTATGAATAAAAACAACCCTTATCAAATCTACTAAAGAACGAAAATTCTTAAAATTTTACATTTTTATTTTCCTATTTAAGGGATTTAGATTAATTATTATTGGGCTTTTCAAAAACTACTTTATACTTTTTAATCGGTCCCCACCCTTTGGTAAGAAACTACCCTTATTACATGTACTAAAAAAATAAAATGCTTAAAACTTAACATTTTTATTGTTCTTTTTAACGGATTTATAGCTTAATTATTTTTGGCCTTTTTCATCAACCGGCTCGGTACTATAGTTGCCAGTACCGATACATATCCATATTTACCACCTGGCCGGTACCTGGACGCATGATTATTCCCCAAATGTCATTTTTCCGAAATGTCATTTTTGCGAAAAGCCATTTTTGCGAATAGTCATTTTTGCGAAAAGCCATTTTTGCGAAATGTCATTTTTACGAATAGTCATTTTTGCGAAAAGCCATTTTTACAATATAGTAATTTTTGCGAAAAGTCATTTTTACGAATTTTCATTTTTGCGAATCGACATTTTTACGAATCGCCATTTTTACGAATTGTCACTTTTGCGAATCGACATTTTTACGAATCGCCATTTTTACGAATTGTCACTTTTGCGAATCGACATTTTTATAAATTGTCATTTTTGCGAAAAGTCATTTTTGCGAAAAATACAATTGTAAATTTCTAGGTATATATAGATTCACTATTGTATTTTTCGCAAAAATATCGATTCGCAAAAGTGCGACAATTCGTAAAAATGGCGATTCGCAAAAATAGCTTTTCGCAAAAATGACAATTCGCAAAAACGACAATTCGTAAAAATTACTTTTCGCAAAAATGGCTATTCGCAAAAATGACATTTCGTAAAAATGTCGATTCGCAAAAGTCACAATTCGTAAAAATGGCGATTCGCAAAAATGACAATTCACAAAAATTAAAATTCGTAAAAATGACTTTTCGCAAAAATTATTAATCGCAAAAATGACTATTCGTAAAAATGACATTTCACAAAAATGGCTTTTGAGTTATTTCACGTCAGAAATATCACGATTTGCAAAGGGTCTGCCGATTTTCGCAAAACTTCGTGGGATTATAGTTCTATATGTATAAGAGACTTCTTTCCCACAAATTTTTTCAAAAAAAATTCAAAATTGTTGAAGATACGCCATTTTGAATTTTAATATTAATTTTGTAAAATTTTTAATATCTCGGAATATTGTTTATGGATTTTTATGAAATTTACACATTTTTCAGGTAAAAGTATTTACTTTAAAATGCAAATAAAGTTAATAAAGAAAAATTAATTTTTAAATAAAAAAATAAAAAAAACTTTTTTAAACAATTTTTTGTTTATTTACTCCTCTCTGAGAAAAATGTTATTAACATATTTGGATTCCTCATGAATTCACCTTTAATTTCATAAAAAAAATTGATGGAGACTCAACTGGTTCGGGAGATATTGAAGTTTTTGTAAAAAATAGGTCTAGTTGCAGCGGCAATGCACGGCTATGGTAACGTACTACGGTACTTGTGCAGTATGGTGCTATGGCGCAGCGACGCTTTTTTTTACAAAAACTTTAATATCTCCGGAACCAGTTGAGTCTCCATCAATTTTTTTTTATGAAATTAAAGATGAATTCATAAGGAATCTAAATATGTTAATAAAATTTTTCTCAGAGAGGAGTAAGTAAACAAAAAATTGTTTTAAAAAATTTTTACATTCTCATCACATGAGAAAGTATTAGTTTTCAATTTTTTTATTTAAAAATTAATTTTTCTTTATTAACTTTATTTGCATTTTAAAGTACATACTTTTACCTGAAAAATGTGTAAATTTCATAAAAATCCATAAACAATATTCCAAGATATTAAAAATTTTACAAAATTAATATTAAAATTCAAAATGGCGTATCTTCAACAATTTTGAATTTTTTTTGAAAAAATTTGGGGGAAAGAAGTCTCTTATACAGAACTATAATCCCACGAAGTTTTGTGAAAATCGGCAGACCCTTTGCAAATCGTGATATTTCTGACGTGAAATGCCTCCTTTCGCAAAAATGACTATTCGCAAAAGTACAGTTCGGAAAAATGACATTTGGGGAATAATCATGCGTCCCGCCGGTATCATGCCGATCGTCAGTGCTGAACACCTTCAACTTTTCTGCCTGGGTCGATCCATCGGTCATAGAATAAAATTCAATGAAAATTGAGAGAGTTACAGTAGATTAAACATGAAAATTTTGATAATTTTTATAGTGATGCATAACGATACGAGATTTTCAATTATTTCACTTCATATACTGATCGTTTTCAAAAAATGTTAAAAAAATAAATATCGTTCATTCATTTGTTTTTACATTCTCATCATATGAGAAAGTATTAGTTTTGGTCGAAAATTGACTTTCGCTAATTTCATGAAATCTCGACGTTTTGTTTTATATATAGATCGTACTGAAATATCGATCGACTCCGAACGATATTCTCATTCTCGGTTTTTATAATAAAGATTTATTCTTCAATGACAGAACAAAATAAAAAAAAATAATTTTACCAGGGGACTATTTAAAAAGCAGTCACTTGTTAAAAAACCGTATTTTCACTAAAGATTAAGGAAACTCAAAAAAAAGAAAATTTTCATCATTTTACTTTTGTAAATTTACACTGTAAATAATAAAATGAATCTAAAGTTACAAAATTTAATTTATTCTTCTTTGGTGTATTTTGAGTATATTTCAATACATGGTTGCCACAAAATGATAAATATAAAGTTCCAGGCTTTTTCCAGGATTTTCCAGGTCAACAGAAGATGAAAAATTATTCTTTGAGCAAACTTTATCTTCTGCTTACTAACAGTTGCTAGTACTAAAATTGTTTACTGGTTCCAAACTTTTGCTAGAACAATTCCAATAATTATCTGAATCATCAAAATTAATTTATCTCACAATTCATAAAAAGTAGAACCACAGCCGATAATCTAGCAGAAGATGAAAAAATTTTTTTGAGCGAACTTTATCTTCTGTTTACTAAAATTTGTTAGTACCAATATTGCTTACCCATTGGGCACAGGGACGTCTGTCAATATCGACTCATCGATATTGTTTTCGTAATTTGGACTTTTGAAATTTCCAAACAAGCCAGATGCGGTCAATTTGTTATAAACAAATGAAGAAAAATTCATGTTCATAAGAAACTAATATCTCCATTCGATTCTACGCAAAACATTCTACTAAAAATCAGTTTTTCTTCATTTGTTTATAACAAATTGTTTAAAAAAAATTTCTATCAAAATTTTTAATGTCAAAAATTATTCTTAGATCTCATGCCAGGGGTTCCAATAGTTACTTTGTTTATATCTGCGTTTCTGTGCTCATGGGCATTAATGGGTTAAAGACACGGTCCGTGAGAATGTCCTAGTCACCGATAGGACGGTCGCACTTGGGACCTTCCCAAGTGACCCTTTCCCTCTTGTGATTGTCCAATCGCTCTCTGGATCTTTCTCATGGTTCGTGCGTCTGTTATACTCAAACAGTTTAATTTTTGCTCTTGTCAAAAGTGCTTTTTTAGTGGTCTTTTTATTTTAATATTTAAATACTTGCTTCTTATTACTTTTTAGTCAAATAAGGTGTAGTTACCAACTTTGACACTTTATTTTACAATTTTCTTAAAGAAAGTGTAAAAATGTTAATTTTTACGGAAATGAGACATGCCAAAAAATTACGATTTTAGTGTATGGTTTGTTTACATTTCACAACTTGGACCGCATGTTTAACGTTACGTTTAAAGGGAGGTGTTCGGATAAGTATCACGAAATAAAATTAGAAAATATGCGACAATGAAGACTTCTTTATTTTTTTATGTAAAAAACACCTAAAGTTCATCTTTAAAAAAAAATTAGAAAAAAAAGAATTTTAATTAGTAAACCACTGGTACATCAACCTTACTACTATTCAGTCATTAGACGCTTTCATAGTCTCAGTTCCGACTAGTTGACAGACTAATCTGTTATAATGTTAATATAGTAAAAACTCAATTTAGAAAAACGCATTTTTTTATTAAACATATAATTTCTCAAAACTAGAAAGCTGACTTTTTTTTATCGTTTAAACGTTCTTATGTTAATGTTTGAAATTTGAAAATCATATAATGTCCACAAAAATATTTATTATATATTTATAAGTGACAAGCGTATAATATATTACACATAACTTAAAGTTTTAAAGTTCTTAGAAATAATGTAAGAAAAGAATTGTACTTTTACATTGTTATGCTGCACTGTAAAAAAAGATTTGTAATAAATTGTTTATTTCTTAATCTTATTACTTCCAAGTTTCGTTAACAACGATTTTGTTAAATCTCAACAAATTGAATCTCTAGAAAGCTATACGTTCTATTTAAAAAAATTTTAATTCGAAAATGGAAAAAGTTGTTGCTAAATAGTCTTACATGTTTCATTAATTAAAAGATAAACTTAAGAAAATATTTACTATTTAACTAAAAAACAAAACATGAAGGTAAATATTTTTTGTTTAAAAAAATAATAACATATATTTAAAAAAAATTTCCTGTATAATTTAAAACTGAAGAATATCGAATTTTCTGTAATTCAAAAATTCTGTAGGCCTGACTTTAATTCATAAAATGTTAAAAAATATTAAAACGTCTGTTCTTCAATGTTTCAATAGCTTTTTGTGGAATTGAATAAATTCCGATTTATTGAGTGTTAGCTTTATATTAATAAAAGAATTATAATATATAAATATTATACAAAGTATTCCTAGTATACAAATGTAGGTTGTTTGGTTGTAATATACGTGAAATATTTACTTTTCTATTTTTTTACATTTAAAGAAAGAATTTTCGCAACCTTGAGAGATTTGCATGTGAGTGAAAAAACACATTTAGCGTTGAATCGATGAAAAATCGACATTTTCGTAGTAGTGCAGCTTAATTTAAGATTTAACCTTCTACTTTACATTAGATTAGAGACAAAATTCTTCTGAGAATTGTACTTCTTTACGCCTAACATTCAATAGAGTTTTTGGTTTGCCACAAACCAAAGTATGAATTCTAAGTTACTGTCTAAAGCTCTAAATTTCTGAACTGAAATGTTTTATAAAATTAGTGTGAGAAATAGTAACAGGAAAAACTGCCATTGTATATATATTTAGTTTTAAATACTACAAAGACAAAACTGAAAATTAATTCACTTTTTTAAAAATATTTTCGTAACTTTAACAGTCTCTAAAAATATTAATTCAAAATTCTGTAAAAAAAATAATAACTTAAAAACTGAATCGATCATTGAGGGTTCTGCCAGTTACGCCAAGATTTCCAGATAGGCTGTACATGACTTCACTAAAACTTCTGTCATCCATGTTTAGAGACGACTCCAAACTCAGTATGCTGCGATTGCGGGATCTTGAGCGGGATCTGGATCGCCTTTGTTGAGTGAAGGATTGATTTCGACCAAGCTGTAAACATGATGAATATTACACACTTTATCAGGTTAAAAGTCTTCGATGCTCTCTACTAAAATTCTTCTTTAAATCTATTATTTTTAATCATTTTTTACCAAGTCCTTTAAAAATCTTCAAATCAATTTGTTTACAATTCAACTTTACGAAATTTCGATTATTCGCAAATTCTTCAATTAAATATACATGGGTGTCTGGGTGATTCTCCGCGTAGCGCACAATTTAATGTCCCTCATGTTTTTTAAGAAATCAGTTTCATATATTCTAATAAATTCAACGTGGATAACTTATTTCCATGATAACAAATAAAAGTCTATAGTCGTTTTCATTTAAAAGTTTATAATTTTACTTAAAAATCTGTTTTAAGGTGCCAAAACGTCATGGTGTAATCAGTCCCCACTACCATTTCATATATAAAATGTTATTTTTTTAGTAAAATATAATAATAAATATAATGAATATTGACATTTTCTTATTGTCTAAATTAGTAGAATTGAAAAAAACAAAACACTTGTGGAAAAAAAATTTATTTTTTAATATTTTTGTAGATATTTCTTGTCCCCCGTTTTCGCGTCATGGTCTAATTACTTTGTAAAATTGCCTAATTTACATAAAAAATCAAATCGAAAAATTACTTAACATTAATAAACTCTCCTAAGTAAAGTACTAAAAAAGAAATTAAAAAAAAATTTATTTTTCTGTTTTATATGTGTTACAAGCATGAAAGTTGCATAGGGAATCACAGAATCGTCATGGTCGAATCATAATATATTTGCAATAAAATGAATAATTATTTAAATTTTACCTCAAAACAAGTTTAGTATAGTATAAAGTAAGTGAAAGCAAAAGACGTGGAAAAAAAGAATTTCTGAAATCGATAATAATTTGCTTAAAAATTTAGTTTTTCTTGTGCGTCATGGTCGAATCAGAGCGTCATGGTGTAATCAATTTAACATGGGTGTTTATTGTAAAAAAGAAAATTATAATTATTTTGTCTGGCCCACCACAAATATTTCGTTCTCGAATATTGAACTTTAAAATTCTATATCGACTTTTACTTAATTTGAAAAAAAAATTTCAAAAAGAGTAAAATCCAAATTGTGCGCTACGCGGAGAATCACCCACATCAGAAAATAAAATCTTTAAATAATTAAAAAAAATTCAATTAAACTTTTTCAAAAGAATTAATTCAACAGAACTGTTAGTTAAAAGTATGAAAAATTCAAATTTTCAAAGATTTTAATTTGAAACCATTTCAAAATTCAATTATTTCTAAAAATTTACACAATGAAGCTTTTAATATTTCATTATTATCTACAATATTTTTTTTACTAAAATTCAGTTTTAATTCAATGTTTATTAGAAAATTCAATTATTTAAATAAAAAAATAAACAATTTATTAAATAATTGAATGCTTCTTCAAATTTAATTCTCACAAAGAATTTTATCAACAAATTTTATCAACAAATTTTTAAATAAATTGAATTTTTTCGACGAATTTTAATAACAGGATTGCCACAGGTCAGGAATTAAGAATCAGGAAATTAAGAGAAAAGTCAGGGAATATTATTAAAAGTACTGGAAAAATATTCAATTTCTGAATTATGAACTTTACAGATATAAAATTTTTAAAAATTTAACTTTAAAAAAATTCTTCAAGACAATTCAATTATTATTTTCAATTCTCAGTGCAATTTCAATCAAGTTTCTCGAAAGAAATTAAATAATTTAATTATTTTCAAAATTTAAATAAAATTCTATCCAAAAATTAAATTGTTTAAAGTTCAGAATTATAAAAAGTTACAAAAAATACAAGTAATATAAAAATTAATATAAAAAGTTATCAAAAATGTTATCTTTTAAAATAGAAAAAACTTCATAAAATTAACGCAAAATTTGAATTATAAAATCTCCAGAAGTTATATTATAGTTTTTTGAAACATTTTTATTATACGTTTTTTTAAATTAGTTGAAGTTTTGAATATTTATATTTAAGAAAAATTTTCAAATTATTGAAACTTCATAAAATTTAATTTTAAACTAGGTGGATTTAAAAAATTTTTAGGTGAACATTTTTTGTTTAATAAATAATTTAGGAACTTTCTGAAAAATTATTAAAAATAATTGAATTGGAGTAGAATTTTTATTAGAAGTTCTAGAAAAAAATTGAATTGAAATTTTGAAAATAATTTTGGGGAAATTACAGTAACAATTCTTATAAATTATTAAATTACAAAGAATTTGAAAATTGAAATTTTTTAAAATCTTAATTTATGTGGAAAAATAATATTAATGATTAAATATTTATTAAAAAAAACTTTTAATGCTCCGAATAATTTTACAATTAAAAATATTAAAAAATAAATGTATTACAAACATTTTTTTGTGTATCTGATTATTTTTAGATTCGATTAAAATATTTTTTAGGGTCAGGGAAAAAATCAAAGTTCTGTCTAGAAATCAGGGAAAAGTCAGGGAAAACAAAATCAAATTTTTGTGTCAACCCTGAATAAAATTTTTAAGAATAATTCCATTTCACGAGGAATTCGATTTAAAAATTGTATTAAAAATAATTAAAATTCTGCGATGAGTTTTATAATTTATGAAAATAATTGAATCCCTGTAAAAAATTTTATTATTTATGAAAATAGTTAAATGTTTGCCTAGAATTTTATCAAAATTTTCGTTTAAATAATTGAATTCTTTTGGAAAATTTGATTAAGGGTTCATACCACTTTGTCATCTTCAAAAAAGCAAAAATTTTTTTATTATGGATTTCGAAAGTAAAATATGTCAAAAATGTGGTGTAAAATTTTTAGAAAGATCCCAGCAGTCAAAATATATTTTTTTCAATACTATTTGAGCGCGTACACGGCTATGTAAGTATACAACACCAACTTTAAATGCGTTTTTCTCAAAACCACATTTTTTCATGCTGCGTGATGTTTTTCTCGGAAACTACTGAACCGATTCTCAAAATTTTTTTACGAAAATCTTCGTCACATGGGTGGGTATCGCCGGAACTAGAATTATTTAAAAATATTAATTTTTACTATTTTTTTAAACCGAAAAACTGCCAAAAAAACCTTAATTTTCGAAAAAAAAATTTTTAATTGCCGACATTTTGTTATTTTTGCATAAAAATTAAAAACTCTAGTTCGGGCGATAGGCACAGTTCTACTGAAGATAAATCAATTTGAATTTTGTGTTTTAGATTTTTCTAACCTAAGAAATCAATCCCGCAGCTGGCATCGGTATTTTTAGCAGGTCTAAAATTATTGTTAAATTTTAAATAAACAAATAATATTTTTTACATAAAATAAGGTTTTTTATAAAGTTAAAGAGTGTATTTATTGAACTAAAAAAATGCAGATTAATATAATCCATAGGAATCGTAAAAAAAATTCTAGAAAATAGCTTCATTTTCAAGCGTGTAAAGTGGTATGAACCCTTAAAATAGTAGATATGAAAAATCATTAAATTGAGGAAAATTTTAGAAATAATTGAAATTTTGCAAAGAATTTCATTAAAGTTTTTGAAAATAATTGGATTTTGGTAAAGAATTTTATTATTTATGAAGATAATTTAAATTTTGACGAGAATTCTTAAACATTTTTTAACATAATTGAATTTCTAGGAAAAATTTTATTACTTATTTGAAAATACCTAGTTTATTAGAAAATAGGCAAACAAAAAAAACACCAAAATTCAGAATTTTCTTATGAATTCTGAAAATTTAATTTTTTTCAGTACTTTTAATAAAAATTCCTGACTTTTTCCTAAATTTCCTTGCTTGCTTGACCTGTGGCAACCCTGATAATGTTTCAAAAATTTGCAAATATTTTCAACTCACCACATTCAGATTTTGCATACTCTGCCGAAAAGTTGATCTTCCTCTTGATAATTGATGAGGGTTACCAATATTTTCACTGTTTTGTCTTTGAGATAGACTTAAAGGTTGCTGTCCGATTTCATGAGAAAATGGAGAACCCAACGTACAAGTGAAATTCACGTTTGAATTGGCGTTCATCTGAGTAGAACTGGAAAATTACAAAATCTTCTTAAAAAAATTTGTACTTTCGAAAAAATAACAAATATAAAGGACAACAAAATCGATTTTTTTTAAATCCTTGACCAGAAAGTCCCCTTAAATAAAAATGAACGAAGAAATGAATACTTAGCATACTTAAGTCTTAACAGTTTTTGTTCATACTGCTGTCGCCTTTGTGCTCGTACTATCTGATCTGATCTTAGTCCACCAATGTTAAATCGATTTTGGGACGTTAAAATTTGTTGTCGGCGCTCTAACGCTCTTTGTTGAAGAGATCTCAAAGATTTCACACCTCCTGCCATCTAGAACATACAGTTGCTTATGTAGTTTAATTCAATTTCAAATATTAAACAAGAATTTTAATCAGAACATTTGTAATTTCTAAAATTTTATGTCTTGAGAATTAATTTTGTCGTAAGAATAGTATATTTTCAAAATTATTTTCATCGTTTCAATTCAATTATTAATTTCTAGAATTTTTAACTAAAATTTTTCTTTACATCAATTATTGTTCATAATTTTTTAAAAAGTACTATGAGAATTATCAAATCCATATTTCATAAGAATTCAATTTTACAAAATTTCAATTATTCCGAAATTCATCAATTTAATATTAGAAAATAAAAACTTTAAATAATTTCAAAAAAAAAATCAAATTCAACTTTTTCAAAACAAATTAATTCTACAGAATTGTTAGTTAAAAGTATAAAAAATTCAAATTTTTAAAGATTTGAATTTGAAACCATTTCAAAATTCAATTATTTCTAAAAATCTACACTATAAAGCTTTTAATATTTAATTATTATCTACAATATTTTTACTAAAGTTCATTTTTAAATCAATGTTTATTAGAAAATTCTACGAGAATTAAATTATTTAAATACAAAAATAAATAATTTATTGAAAAATTTAATATTTTTAGAAATTGAATTCTTATAAAGAATTTTAGCAACAGATTTTTAAATAATTGAATTCTTTCGACGAATTGTAATAAAATCTTTAAGAATAATGACATTTTACGAGAAATTCAATTAAATTTGTATATAAAAAATAATTGGAATTCTGCGATGAGTTTTATTATTTATGAAAGTAATTGAATTGTTGCGAAGAATTTTATTAAAAAATTTTAAATAATTGAATTTCTTCGAAAAAGTTTATGCCAATTCTTTTTTAAATAATATTGAATTCTTGTGAAATTTTTATTATTTATGAAAATAATTGAATCCCTGTCAAAAATTGTATTATTCATGAAAATAATTGAGGGCTCGGATCGAAGAACCGACGCTTGTAAACGCACAGAACATTGCGAAGCGTCGGTTCTTCGATCCGAGTCCTCAATTGAATGTTTGCGTAGAATTTTATCAAAATGTTCTTTAAATAATTGAAATTTAGAGTTTTTAATTAAAATTCTTCTATAACTTAATTATTGTTAATAATTAATTAAATATATGTATATATTAAAAAATGTAACTAATTTCACAAGAATTTGAATTATTAAAATTTTTCAAAAAACTGAGTTCTTTAAAATTTCTAATTAAATTCATTAAAAATTGAAATTTTCTAAAATTTAAAATTTAAACATTTTGAAGTTCATCTATTTATGAAAATTGTAAACGCAACTCTTTTAAATTTCAATTAATTTTTAAATATTTAAGTAAAATTATTCATTAAATAATTTATCAGTTGTCCTAAACTATTTTAAATTCAATTAGTTTTTAGAAAGTTTGCAAGACAATTTCATGAAATTTCGAATAATTTGAAAATTGTTCATTAAAATATACCTTCATAAAAAAAAGGATTTTCAAAAAAATGTGAATAAAAATGTTTCAAAAAACTAACTCATTCAGAATTTTTAATTGAAATTTTTTTAAATTCAACGAATTGATATTAATGTAAAATACGGTTTTTTTAAATTTATTTTCTATGAGAAACAGAATTTTACTTATTTTAATGTCACGTTCTATTTAGAATTTAAAAATTAATTTTTAGAAATTTCGTATCACTTTTGTTCTAATTTGTAAAATCTCTATAATTTCCATTTATTAATTACGATTTTTAACTAAATTATTTTTAAATTTTGTTAAAAAATTTGCATAAATTCTATTTCTTATTATAATTTTTAATGAAATCTCAAGTATTTTTTTTAAAGAATTAAATTTTCGTAAATTTTATTTTTTAATCATATACTTATTGTGATCGTCATTACAGAAACTGAATATTGTTAGGAAATTTTTTTTTTGAAAACTACCTTTATTAGAAGAAAGAAAATAAGAAAATCATCTTCATTAGAAAAAAAAAATTTTGAAAAATGAAAAATTAGAAAATACGTTTTAGAAAAACTGTTCTCTTTACTTTTCGTTGCCTCTCAGTATCATATCATAAATATGAAAAAATGATACTGAAAATTTTAGTAAACATACCCCGATTGCGTTTTGTAAATTCATTCTCTGATTTTGTCGCTGCAGTAGAAGTTGTTTAGCCCTTTTGACTCTGTTGCGATAAGCAATTTGTGCTGGACTTTGATATCCCAATCTATTGTAAACCGAATTAGGATCTCTTAAATTAGACATACTATTGGAATTGCCTTTAAGAGTACTTCGATTGATGAAAAATCCGCCGTGTCCAAAAGATGGATTTATTTGACTCTTGTTGCGATTCAATGCAAGTCTGTTGCCTACAGCTCTTCTCTTGGGCCCAAATCCTCGGTTCACAGAAAATGCTTCTCTGGTATATGTTTTGAAATTCCGATTCAAATTTAAGCTACTGCGACTTCTAACGATTCCACCTTTTTTGTTGTATCTTTTTCTCACAAAACCTCCACGAAGCTTCGTGGTTCCCTGTCTCCACGACATGATTTTTTTAAATTGAGATTGATTTTGTTTTTTCGGTCTTTGATTGCCGCCCTGGATTCCTGGTTTCAAACCGCGAGATTTCTTCACTCCTCCTTTTACACTGGCTACGCCACTCTTTTTTTTCTTCTTGTCCAACTTTATGATCTCATCTGAAAAGAAGAAACGTGAATTTTTATAGCAAACAAATAATCTAGAATTTCAATTTCATCAACTATTACAATACAACTTGAACATAGTTGCATATCATTTTTAAGGTACAAGTGAGGTTTTTATACACAAGCAAAAAAAAAAAAAAATAACGGCCCATTATTTTCTAAAATTTTAACTGAAATGTTTTTATATCAATTCCTATCAGAATTTAATTATTCTATTTAAATAATTCAATTTTCATAGTTGAATTCTGAGAGGAATTGATTTTAAAAAAATTTCAGTCAAAATTTTAAAAAATAATTGACCGTTATTTTTTTTAATTGTATTTTCAAAAATACAATTACATTTATAGATAATTTTTAAAGATAAAAAAAATAAAATTCTTTAAAATTTAAAACTGATTTTAAAAGTTTACAAAATTTCCAATTGTTTCAATTTTTGTAAAATTATTTTCGGCAATTCAAGTATATCTTCACAAAATTTTAATTACTATTTTTCAAAAACTTAATTCTATTCAGAATTTCCAAATTAAATTAAATCTTTCAAATTTCATTCATTTTTGTAAAATAAATATTTAAATACTTATTTTTCTTTATTTTCTTAAAATTTCAAAATACTTTCAATGTAAAACTATTTAAAAAATTTTTTATGAAAGTTTAAATTGCAAGTCTTCCAAAATTTATTTATATTTTGGAATTTTTTAACAAAATTATTCAAAATTTTTAAGAAAGCCAACAAATTAATAATTTTTATATTTAAATATTATTATACTTTTACAGCAATTAGAATTTCAAAGATTTCAATTTAAAAACTTTTTGAAATTTAATTATTTCTAAAAAATCCTACCTACTTTAACATTTCTATTTATTTTCTAACGTTTTAACTATACAATTCTTTTTTAAATCAATTATCAGAATTAAACTACGAGAATTCAATTATTTAAATACAAAAATAATTAATTATTTTTAAAAATTGCAACTGTATACCTCTTTATTGAGTTTTTGAAATTTGGGTTAAATTTTCTTACTTCACTTATAGATTATCTCGATTATTATTATATATAATTTTTTTATTTGGAAATTCATTTGTTTATTTTTCTAATTTCTGATCATAATTTTATTAACATTTTTTTGTATTTTTTTTATATATTATAAAAATTATGATCTGAAATTAGTTCAAGAAAAATAAAGAAATAAATTTTCAAATAAAAAAATTGGATAATAATTGTATTTTCTAGCATTTTCAGTTAAAAAATAATTTTTTTTTAAAAATCCTTCCAAAGTTGTAAAAATCAATGTTTTCATTTGGCAATTTTTTTATAGATTCAAAAACATCTTTTCTACAAAATTACGCATGGACTTTAAAATCTACCAATTTTTAAGAAAAATAAAAATTCAAAAAGGGTCAAAATATTTTCTGACCGATTTTATTTTATGACTATTGAATTCCCCACAAAAAGTACCTTAAAAATAATTTTGTAGAATATTTAAATTATTTTTTTGATATAATTCAAAATATCGGTGTACTTCAATTATTCAAAACTTGAATAATTTTGTTAAATAAATATTTAAATATTGTTGATATTCTTTTAATCGATTATCAGAAGAGTAATAAATGAAACACTATTTCATTAGATGTACAACGTTTCGGCTATATATATTAAATAAATAACTATATATTAAATATTTAAATACTTTTTATTTACTTTTCAACGGCAAATAAAATTTAAGAAATTTTAACTTAAAACCTTCTGAAATTTAATAACTTCTAATAAAATTACAACTATAACCCTTTCAAAATTCAATTACAATTTTTTATAATAATTGTTACCGTCTATGTTTTTCTTTAAAGTTATTAAGGTATAATATTTTTAAGAAAAATTGACCCTTTAGAGAATCTTAATTAAAAATTTCCAACATGATCGTTTTCTCAAAAATGTAAATAATTATTCTAAAAAATTTTAATATTATTTTTTGTATATAGGTATTTGAATTTTCGGAAATGTGCCTAATTGAAAATATTGAAAATAATTGAGTTTACGAAAATTTGAATGAAAAAATTCGAAGAATTACTTTTTTCAAAAATATTTCTTATATAATTTTTAGAAACTAATTTTCAATTATTAAATTTTGCATTTGAAGATTTTTTATTAAAATTTTTGAGAAGTTAATTATTTTCAAAATTTGCAATTAATATTCAAAGTTGATTTTCAAAAATGTTAATAAAGTACTGGAATAAAAAAATAAATTATTTTCTATTAAATTTTACAAAATTGAATTATTTAAAAATTTTGTAATTAGAGGTGTATTTAAAAAATTCAATTACCGTAAAAAAATTTTTCAAAAATAACTTTTGAAAGATTCAAGTTACTTTTTAGTTTGTAAAAATAAAAGTAAGTTGCATTTTATACTAAAAATATTTTGTTGCAATATTTGGAAGAAAAGTAAAAAAAGTCACAATTTTTTAAAATAAGTAAAAAAAGTTGTAATATCCGAGGCCTGTATTCCTTGCATTGAAACCTATTAATAAATCTGTAGAAAGCTTAAATCGTACCCTAAATCTATATATAAAATCTGTTTCTAAATTTAAACAAATTTTAATTTCTACTTTTTTTTATTAAAATAAAACATTTTATATCTTATATAAAAGTCACAATTTACTTGAATTTTTTAAAATTAATTAATCGTTATGTTTAAAATTATAAAAAATTATAAATCGTTTAAATTTAAAAAAAACTCTTTTTCTGAGAAATTTATTTTTGAAGATGAAAGAAGTTTTTTTCCTTTTTTAAAAAATGTGTTAAAAAAGATAAAATAGTGTGAACTGTGTCAAAAATCTAATTTGTATATAAAAACTTGGACAGTTACGATGTGTATTAGATAAGAAAAGCAAAAAATGTCCTTGAGATGAACATATAATTCCAGTTTTAAAGATGTTTTGATACCTCTTTAATAAAGGGAATTTTTACCCGTTAGAACCGCAAAAGATTTCATCCAACAAGACGGCGAGAAAGAAATATTTTTTGCCCTTGTTTTGATTAAATGTTAGTTCATTGAAATAAAATTGTATAAGCCATGCGTCTCAGTACTTGCACTCATAATATTATTTATCATTATTAGTGCAGCAAATGTCGAGAATTCCGTTTGGCTGCATTTTATTGATAATAAACACGATTGTAACAATTATAAAGACAATAGTCTTATAACCTCAACTGTATCAGTAATTGACGTGCATGCCATTTAAAAATTACACTGTAATGAAAAAGAGGAGTTTTCTAAACCCGAGATGAGAATGTCCTTGATTTATAAAGTCAGGCGTTAGTGACGAAGATGTGATCAGGTTGACGAATAAAAGAATTTACTTCAATTTAAACTGTAAACTTCATTCTATTCATGTAAATGTAGATTTTCACAGAGCTACATTTTCTCAAAAAAATCATAATAAATGTAGTTTTTTAAAACTAATTTCTAAATGATTTTCTTTTCCAATTATAATATTATTAATCTATATTATTAATATACTGAATTCAGTTTTAATTGCTGGAACAGCGTTATTTTGGAGAAAATTTTGTTATGCGAAGAATAATATTTTTGTTTGAAAAATAAAAAATGCCATATTATCGCCATATTGGTATGCATTCAATATACTTTGGAGTTCTATTATTCTGTGTTTAATTTTCAACACTTTAAGGGATTAAAATTTTGTCACTTACCAAGAGACATATTGACTTTTGCGTCAATGTCCGACATTGCACTGTATTTTAAGTAAAAACTTTTATATACTAATAATAATATCAGATATGAAAGATGATGGAGACGAATTTCTGCACTTCAAAACATAAATGAACATAAAAGAGCACATCTATAAACAGAACAAAGTTAGGGTGGACCCACAATATGAATTCATTTCATGCTTAAGTTAAGGCTAGTACACAGCAAACTGGGAACATAAAGGTAGTAGCGGTAGTAGGTGTTGCGCAATTTCAAACAGTGGTCGCCTTTTAAAAATGGCTGCTTGAACGTAAACATAATTTCAAAAGGATTTTGCTACCAATTTGGACAATTATTGCAAAATAGGGAAAAATACCAGTTATCCTGAAATTCTGTTCTTTCATTTGTGCACAAGAAATTGAAAATCCAATATAATACACGACGTCAGGAAGTAAAATGAGAAAATTAGATGGGCCCATTAGGTGGTGCCCTCTGGTGTCAATTTTATGTATCGCGCATTTGTTTAACTTTTTCCTATTTTACTTCCTGTCGTTGTAAATCTAAATAAATCTTTTACTTCTTGCGCGCAAATGAAAAATAGAATATTCAGGATATCTTGTATTTTCTCCGATTTTGCAATAACTGCCCGAAATTGGGAGAAAAATCATTTTCAAATCAAGTATACATTTGAGCAGCCATTTTTAAAAGGCGATCACTGCGGAACACCATTTAGCTCAAAAGAAAGTAAAAATATTCAAAATTTGAAGATAGATTAATTATTAAATCTAGTGAAAAATATTTAACAAAAACCGGATTATTAAAATGTGAAAAAATTTCAAGGCCAACGAAGTAACAAACTATTTCAATTTGTAATATTTTTTTATTTTATGTCTATCCGTAGAAACGTGATAGCTATATTCTAAATATTACAAACTTTACTTTTATGTCATTTTCACGAAAAACTGTAATATATTCCACGTGTCCCGATGATAATATTAAACTTTATCATTTTCTAAACTCTTTATAAAAGCAAAAATTTTTTCACGATAAATTTTTGAAATAAAAGAAATATGACACAGGTTTTAAAGTTGTAGCGCAGTTTAAGTAGAAATAATTCAGTCATAATCATAGTAAACATAAGAAAAAAATTGAATTATAGAATTGTCTAGTCCGAATTTACAGGTAAATTTATTCTCTATATTATTATATAATTACATATATCTCTTGTATATTTATTTTACAGTCGTTTTAGAGTAGAAATAATGATTTTCTTCAAAAATTCGAAAATTTTTTCAACAAAATTTGGGATTTATTTTCTAACATTTTGATAAAAAAACCATTATATTAAGAAATTTATCCAAGTTTACAAAATAAATTCCAATCTTTTTGGAAATAATGATTTTCTAAAACAATTAGAAATATTTTCAACAGAATTCGGAATGTATATTCTAAATATTCTTTATAAAAAAAATTTATTTACTACTTAGGTATTAGGAAATTATTACTGTAGTTAACTTTATAGCAATACTTCTGAAACAAGCAAGCAATTTTGTTTCAATAGCAATAATATCAAATTAATTAAATATCATATCAAGTAAGGGTGGAGTCCCATGACAGCGTTTTGCGTTGCGTCGTAATGGGAGAGAAAAAGACGCAAATATACGTTTGCTGCATTCTCTCTCATTACAACGCAACGCAAAACGCTGCCATGGGACTGCGGCCTAAATTAACCCGTCAGCGGTCGCGCCGTGAGAAAAAGTCTCACGCAACACTACTCGACCTATAGGGTGCTCTTTAAGGCGCTCGCACAGCTCTACTGCCTGCCTGCCTGCCTGCAGGTCGTCATGGTAACACATAAGAGTAAGAGAGTCAGAAAATTCAAATTAAATGTTTTTTCTCCCTTACTCTCATTGCGCCTGCCTGCGCAGGCAGGCAGGCAGTAGAGGTGAGAGAGCGCCTTTAGAGTGCAAGTGAGACACTAAAAAAGGCGCGACTGCTGACGGGTTAAGAATTTTTAAAAATTTTATGGAAATTTTATTAATTTTTGGGCGATATAAATCTGTCCGGTTCTTTAACCAGGGCTGTTTATAAATTATGTTTAACATTTAAAATAAAAAATTTGCTATTTTACAACAATTTTAGACTAATTTATGATGGTGAGGAATTTGGTCACCTATGACCAATCGCGTTAAAAAAATTTGATACAACTGACAGATAATTAAAAAGATATATTTTAATTTAGATAGAAATTACAGTATTTATTAGAGCTGTGCAAAATAATTCGAACCGAACTGTTCGAATTTTTTCGCCTAGTTCGAATGTCGAAAAACCGACATTCGAGTTAGCCTAGTTCGAATGTCGAAAAACCGACATTCGAACTAAGCCCAGTTCGGATGTCGAAAAACCGACATTCGAACTAGCCCAGTTCGGATGTCGAATATTCGACATTCGATTTACTACAAAATTCGAACCGAACCGAGTTGTGTTCGGTTTTAGTACGCTCAAATGTCAAATTCTAAAATTCGACATTTCAGCGCCCCAAAACCGAACTAAACTCGGTTCGGTTCGAATTTTGCACAGTTCTAGTATTTATTATATTTCAAGCAAAATATTATTGTGGCTAGCAATACTAATACTGTAGCATTATTATGATTATTTAGTCAATCTTATATATAACTTAGTTTTTATCATTTCTGTTGTTATGTGGTGGTTAACTGCAACATTTTTTGTCAATTCGTAAATTTTGACACTGACATAATATTAAAAAGATGATCGCAAATTACGATCTTTTGAGAATGTCGTTTGTATGAGAGGATATTTAAAGCAAAACAATGGATAATAAAACTCATTCCTGCTCATTTCTCGTATATCTTGCTCAAATGCATCACTAAATTATATACCTAGCTAATATGATATCTCTAAAGGCCAACGCACAATAGGTTCGCGAATGTCGTTCGCGAACGCAATGCATGTTTTAGAAAAGGACAGAGATATATATTTGTGTCCTTTTCTAACTCATGCTTTATATTCGCGAACGTGGTTCGCGAAGCAGTTGTGCGTTGGCTTTAATAAGTGTGTCCGAGGTTACCCGGTTCTTCCCTAATATTGCGCCCAACATGGGTAGAGTAGAGGAGGGTAATGTAGTGCACTGGCTTTACCGACTAAACGAATGAATTGAATAAAGGCGCTCGCACAGCTCTACTGCCAGCATGAGAGTAAGAGAGAAAAAACATGAAATTTGAATTTTCTGACTTACTTACTCTCATGTGTTACCATGACAACTATGCATGCATTGGCATGCATGCAGAGCTGTGAGAGCGTCTTAAGAAACGAAAAATTGAAAAGGATTGAAATAATTCAAACTCTGTATGGTGTAGTAGAAATTATCCAATACTTTTGAATGCCATTTCTGTCCAATACTTTTCTATACCATGATAGGACCACGTTTCGTCTAAAAATGAATGCTATTCAATTCTTTTTGTAATTTTTAACAAAGACAAAATTTTTTTCTGAATGCTTTCCAATCTCATCCGAAATTATTACAGCCTGTCATTATATCACTTTTCAATTTTTCATTGGAACCGCGTTTCTGCATGCATTCAAGCATAATCTTCTGGATTTTTGTAATTTATAAGATACATACATTGGCAGATTTTGTAAAAAGTGTTTGTGTTCAAAGAAAAACTTGCTGAAAAATTGATTGTTTACCAATTTTACGTCATTTAAACGAGTCAGGGCCGTTATTCTGTTAGACAATAAATCATAACCTAAAAATTTCAGAGACTTTTAAACACTTTTAACCCTCTTAACTGATAATTTAATAATTATTCCTTTTTAAAATAGCAAATAAAGTCATGAGTGCAGTTATTTGAAAGTAATTGAACATTCTATATGTCAACAATATTAGTATTATATTATTATACTACTGTCGCGGAATTCAGAAGCATAGGGCAGAAATGTCATTCAAAAGGATAGAATTTTTTTAATGCTTCTTAATCTTTGCTTTCTTACTGGGTATTCAAGAGGATTGATATCGTTACTATTTATATTGCTCTCACCGGATAGAAAAGTATTGGACAGAAATGGCATTCAAAAGAATAGAATCTTTTTAATACTTTTCAATTTTTCGTTTCTTACTGGGAGGTTTAAAAAGCATATTAATATAATGTATATCATTTTGGCTTTATTGTGCTTCTTCTAAAAGAAGTTGTGGCGTCACTTCAAAAACACTAGATTTCGAAACCATATTTCCGTTTTTTAGTTACTTGAAGAAAATGTAAGGCTCATCGTTAAAAAAGTATCAGGTAAGTGCTTTTTCCATGTAAAATTTACTTCTGAACACAAATTTAGTATTGTTTTGACGTTTAATTTTGTTTTTATTGAAATATTGAAGTCAACGTGAAGAAAGTGCTTGGGGGCAATGTAGTGCAATTATACAGAGTACCGTAAATATATATTATTTAACCATGTTTGCTTTTTGCAAATTTTTGCAGTTTTCTTTCAGTTTTATCTAACACAGGACCAAAGAAATCTCTAGTTTATAGAGCTGTCTATGAGACGAGATGATACCATGCAAAGTCTCGATCTCGTCTCGGTTTTTACATGCAAAGTCTCGTCTCGTGGGCATCACTACTAATTTATAGTTTTTTAAGTTTCTTATGTTCCTAATATTATACCTAATAAAATAAAATCGTTTATAATATATTCTCTGCTTTTTATTTCACTAATAAAGTGGTCCACTACATTGCCCCACAAATTCCCCCACAGCACCGAAACTTTCCTAAAAATTTATTAAATATTTACTTGCAATATTCGTCATATTTAACTGCAAAGTTTAGTGAAAATTGTGTAAAGATTTAAATGTCCCGATTAAATAAATGTTTAGCGCGAAGCTTTCCTAAACATTTCCTGAACATGAAATTACATCTTCGCATAATTATAATTATAATTATGCGAAGATTTCATTGAAATATTCAGGAAAGCTTCGCGCTGAACATTTATTTAATCGAGACATTTAAATCTGTACACAACTTTCAATAAACATTGCAATTAAATATTCCGAATATTGCAAGTAAATATTTAATAAATTTTTAGGAAAGTTTCGGTGCTGTGGGGGTTTTAGAATGTCGAAAAAAAGTGCCTTTAGTTTTTTGGATATAGAAAAGCTCCATCTACATCTACAAAAAAATAATGTACACCATAAATGTAGCTAGAAGCATTGTCTTTCCAACGAGTCCTTATTGATTAAAATTGGTTGAAAATTGCGACCACAGCACAGGAGTCTTCGAAAGAAAAGTGCACTACATTACCCCCTTCTACTCTATATATTTTTCCAAGCTTTTTCTGCCCGACAATAAATAACAAAGAAAGTGTTGCTCCTTTACATTATTAAATAAAAAATCCAGTAATTTAAAATGAAGAGTGATTAACTACTTATAATGACAACGTAAATAACATTAAAAAGTTTTTTAAGTTTAAATAATTAATTATATTTTTCAGTAATAATTTCCAACAACAGTAGAAAATCTTTCTTTAGAAAAAGATAATCACTGATCAATCATGATTCGACTTGCAATAATCTGCCTACTAAATTTACTAGTCAAAGGTGAAAACAGTATAGATGGTAAAGTGAGTTTAAAGGAATTGAATTCTTCTCTTTCCAAAGCGGAAGAATATATGGAGAACCAATCAATGAATGAAGATTCGGCAATTTTCTTCGGTAACACAAGATCTGGAAGAAGTACCCTAATTAATTACTTAATGGGCAATAAATTAGAAGTTAAAAGCTATTCTAAATTTGGCCCAAAAGTAATAATGAAAGCAGATAATGAATCCATAGGACCAGAAATCAGTATTGGATCATTATCAACAACAGCAACCCCCAAAGGGTGGACTTCGAAAACATTCCCTAATTTGACTCTTTGGGATGTTCCTGGGTTTGACGACAATAGAGGAACAGTACAAGATGTCACTAATTCTTTTTATTTATATCGATTGGTGAAAAGTGTTAAATCTTTAAAAATAATTTTAGTTGTCTTCATTAAAGACATTACACAAGATAATACACAACAGTTTTTATCACTTTTAACAACAATTAAAAATCTTTTTGGAAATCAATTTAAAGACAGTTTTAAAAGTATATCAGTAATTTTCACAAAAGTACCTGCAACTACTAATAATGGTGTATTAATTGATAAAGAATATGTAAATCATCATTTGAAAACTTACTTATTACTTGACGCTGGATTGGAATGGTCCGAAGTTTTTAAAAACTTTACAGTGTTTCTATTAAGTAATAATGATAGGTTTGCCCTCTTCAAAGGCATATCATTTATAAGTAATGTTACTGCTGATATCGATGCTGATATTATTTCAGTTCTTAAAAACTCTGAACGCATACAAAGTAATCTTCTGCAGGATGTACATCCTAGTATTTCAGCTTCTTCTATGTTACGACTGTCACAAGCAAAAGAGATAAAAGAGTTGGAGGAAATGATTCCAATGTTAGTAGACGTTTTGACACAAGCATTATCTAACGAAACAGAGAAGATAAAATTTTTGCAGAATAACAGCGATAAAATTGAATTAAACAACACCAAATTTAAATTAATTGAAATGGAACAAAGACTTTCCTCATTGAGTAATAAGTCTAATTTATACCAAACTATGGAAACCATTTTCTCAACACATCCTACAATTTGGTCAACATTTGATAAGCGGACATTGATGATAAATCTTGAACTAATACAATCTGTTGAAAACGTATTACACATAATTATAAGTAAAGCATTAAAGATTACGGTTAATTATCTCAAAACCAAATTCATTCATCAATTAAATTCAACGATTGCCTATGTTGAAGTAGTTTTGGGAAATATTTCTCCTGACGTATATATGAATACTATGGAAAGAAATGAAATCGCGTCGAATTCAGCAAATGCCAACTTAACTGGTCAGATGGATTCGATGCCGACAATTGAAGTCGGTTTTTGGCGTAGTATTTTTAACAAGATTGGAAATGTGTTTAGTAATCTTTATAACAAATTCTTTAAATAATACCCAAAGTATGCACGTAACGTTATTGTAATGTTACATGTAATGTAAGTAACATTACAATGTTAGAAACATTACAGTGACCGAAATTTTTATGTCACTATGAATCCTGTTTCATGATCCTCTGTAGGATCCCTTTTAAGAACCTCCTTTCAAGAACTTGTTCGATATCCGTCAGTTTCCTAAGTAATCACTTGTAGAATAAGATCCTTAGAAAGATCCTATTTATTATCTTGCAAATGTTCCTTCAAAAGAACTAACTGTATGAGTGTTGCTTATGATGGGTGAACCTAACAAAAGATTCTTTTTTATAAAATTAAATAATAAAATAATTTTTTCAGCTATTAAACAGAAAATAATATAAAGAATTGAAAGAAGGTTATTTTTTAATCATAAAATACTTCTGTTCATAGACTCTTAATTATTTTTTTTTTTTATTGGGGATGAATAACATAGAAAGATACTGTCTTTAAAAAAATTCTCTCCTGATAACACAGCTTTGGCTCATGAATTTTTTTAAAAGTTTTTTACGAGCCAACATTTTTTTCTTCCAGCATAAAGATCTTAATATGGCGATGAGATAAAAACATTTCTCAATTTTAAATTAAAACGTTAAAAATCTTTAATTAATATCAGTCAAAATTTCAGAAATTTTTAAAAATTTTATATTATTTCCAGGTTTTTCATACCTTTTTCTAAATTCCATACCTTTTCCAGGTTTTCCAGGCTCTATGACAACCATGAATTAAATTTTTTGATTTATATTCTTATAAAATAGTTGTAAACATATATTTTCGTATATTTTATTTAAAAATGGAAATTTTAGACATAATAAGAAACTATGGTAATTTAATTGAGATAAATTAACATAAAATAAGAGTATAACATCTAATCATATGTTTATAATATTGGAAAAATAATAAGTTAAATAAACTCTATATAAAGTTCTACTCAAATCGTCTTTCATTACAATTTTCATGACATGCATTTCAACCTTCTTATTCCTTTATATTTTTCTCTAAATTATTCTAACTTATATCAAAATAATGTCTGGAGAAAAGGTTATATCTATGAATAATATAATTTTTTATTCTAAGGAGCAATGAGATAAATAGTTTGAATATACTCTTATGGAAAAGAGTTACTTTTCTTTAACATAAATTCAGCACAAAATGTTTAATTTCTATAAGACTGGTGTAAGTTCTTTTTTTAGGATCTCCGATCTTTTTTCAGTTATAATTTATGATCAACTCTCATAAAATTCAGGGACAAGTTTAGAAATTTTTAAAATAATATTATACATTTATTTAAACATTATACTTATTTTTCGTTAACTTAATAATTTTTTATCACACATATACCATATAAATTTGTTAATCTAAATTCCAAATTGATATCCATTTTTACGTAACAGACACGTTTTTCAAGATATAGTTTATAACTTTTTCAAATATAATTATTCTACAATAAATTTTAGATATTTATTATCATGAAATATTCTAGATTCTAAATTTTATTATTTTAAACTTTCAATGTTTAAATTAAAAAATTTTCAAGTCATAAAAAATAAATCTCCATAACAAAAGATCTATTGTTAAAATGAGGGGTCGCAATATATAATTGAAAGAAAGCCACTCCAATGCGGTAGTACTCTTTCGACAGTAGTTAAAAATACTTATTTTACAAATTTAATACCTTGGGGTTCAGGGTGTCTACTGCAAACATGACTTAAAATTCTAGGACATTTTTAGGACATTCCAGGCCAGATTTCTTATTTTTCCAGGACATTTATATGTGTAATATTATTTCATATTAAGATTAACATAATTTCAATTAACTTATTTGAACAAAAATATTCATTTTATTATTTATTATAGAAAGAGTTAAAAATCTAGGTATATTGTAGAAAACAGTTTCTTTAATCAAATAACAAATTAAAATTATTTTTTGATGGATCAAAAAAATTATTTTTTTAAATTTGAGTGAAATTTTTAAATTATTGAATATTTAAAAGTAAAATGTGGAAAATTCAAGGACAAAAGTTCAAAATCCAGGACATGGGAGAGTTCATAAATGATGTCACGCAATTTTTTGGGATTTTAGACCCCCCCCTCCCCTCTGTCACGCAATTTCACATGTAAAAATACATTGTGTCACGTTTAGTAGAGACCCCCCCATTTAAGGATATTTCAGGACATTTCCAGGAATCCCAGGACTTCAAGGACCAGTGGACACTCAGGGGTCCCAGTAAAAAAGGATTTTTTAATATAGCATTTTGGACGATTGAGCAAGCCGTCTGCTCAATTGTCCAAACGGAATTTGGACAATTGGACTGGTTCCTCAATTATCCGATGAATTAGGTCCAATCATCCCAAATGTTTTTCGTGGCTAAAAAACTGCTGAATTAAGAAAAAAAGTACTGAAATGTTACAGAAACTTTAGAGAATTCTTAATTCCAGACAAATACAGAAAAATTAGGTATAAAAATACCTCGAGTGAGGAAAAAGAACAAGATTTCTAAAATATCACTTTTTAACTGACAGTGCAATGCTGTACTTGGAATTTAGTTGGCAAAGAAGTGAGGATTCTGATAAAGAGAAACACTTTATTATCCTCTCTCAATACTCCTCATGTGGTAATATATTGTAGATTTCGGTTTCTCATTTTAAAAAAGAGAGAATTCAGCAAAATAAAATATTTACTAATAATATTTTTTAATTACTTTTCACTATTAGCACTGTGCATTTTGTATGCAAAGGCTGTTTTCGGCACTCACCCTGGGTTAACCCCGAGTTAAATATTATCCAATCATCAAAAACATTCTGTTGGTCTAACCAATCACCATTAACATGGATTTAACTCGGGGCGAGTGCCGAAACCAAGAAGGGCCGAAACAGCCATAAAATGCTCGAACAGGGTTGGGCGCGTAAAATACCTCAGGTAAATTACGTGGTTTTTTACGGTAAAATACAAGGTAAATTACTTCACTAGTTTTTGACACGAGGTAAATTACTGGAACATAACCTCCAAACTGTCAAACTAATTATTTAAAATTTAAATAAACCGATGAGCAAAGGTGGCAGGCATCGTTATATATCATTATACCCAACATTCTTTAATATTTTCTTGCAAATTAAGGAAGAATCCGACAAACAATCGGATATAATATAATTTTTTGTCAATAATAAACGATTTAAGTAACATAACTTAAAATTTAACAAATGTTTCTTATTGAGATCTGAAAAATTTGTCTTCTTATTTTAAATTACGAAATTATGACATTGGAATAACTTTTATTTTAACTGTACATCAGATTCTTCCTTAATGTAAGGTGATTCGTGATTTTGTTTAATTTTATGTCTCTGCAACATTGTTGACAAGAAAATGTGAGGTTATAAACGATTTCATTTGAACCAGGTAATTTCAATGGAGTTGAAGAAAGCCGGTTTTTCTCAAAAATATCGTTTTTTCTTGCCTTAGACATTGTGTAATAAAACACTTTTTTGTAATAAAAGGTTTTTAAATCTTAAATAATTACAGTGTTATTTAAAAACATAAAAAAAATAGGACGTCAAACGGTCAAATTAAAAATAATAATAAGTCCGCCATATTGAACGTGTAATTTACAGTATTTTACAGTTTATTACGTAAAATACCTCGTTTGAAGTATTTTACGTAGAAAACCTAAAGTGACGCGTCACTTCCCATCACTGTGCTCGAAACTTTATCCGAGATAGTACAGTAGGATTCAAGAATGCTATGTTCCCATGGAAACATATGAGTGCGACACGTTCAAACTAAGAAGGCATTCCTGAATCCTACTGTACGAGAGATAGAACGAGATAGTAATATGAGGTTGTTTCTTTCACTCTCATGCATTTGCGCTTTGAAGTTTTACGCCAACATGGGACTCCACCCATGTGAGCAGAATATTCTGCTCACATGCACGGAAAAAATTTCGGGCGCGCAGCTTTAAGGCCAACGCAGAATAGATCTGTGGCACCCTTATGTTTTGCTAGCATTCCCTGAAGTACATATTTCGTTCCATTCGTTCACAACCCTGAGAAAACATCAATTTGTAAACACCAACCCAAATAAGTCTTCCTAAAATTTTAATATTTTAGATATTTTAGATGTTCTTCCACTTTATAGGTTAAAAAATAAAAGGAATGTGTTAAAAAATTGAAATAAAATTTTAAGAAAACGCGATTTGTTAATAATTTATAATGGCTAATGTTGTTATAAAAAGTGATGATGCCGTTGAGTGTTTTCTTTATCCAAAATTTTGTTTAACAAAAAATTTCGAGCAAGTAACAGAAGAGAAACTTATTGAAGAAATTAATAAATATTACGAGGCAACGAAACATATCACAAAAGATTATATATGGCACAAAGAGTCGTTAACATTTTTTCCAAGAACAAAACGATCACTTCTACTCGAAACACTTATTGAGGGATCCAAATATGAAGGTAATTATTCTAGAGTAGTAAATAAAATGCGCGCTGGAGCACGTGATTTTCTATTTATATTATGAATGTGAATAATGATTTTTATTCTAATATAAACTCGATGAAATAAATATATCTTTCGTGGTTAAATAACTATTTTGTTATAATAAAGAAATAGAACATTTACTATTGTTATAATTAATAGAGTTAGAGTATTTTATATTTTACCACAATAGGTAATTTTCACATTTCTTTACTTTCTCGGTATGTCCACAGTTGAAATTAGCTTTTTGTATGCTTTTGTTTTATAGTTTTTAATAATTCTTAATTTGGATATGGGTGATTCTCTCTGAACATTACTCTTGCATGTCCTGATGTCTTTCTAAAAATGTATAATAATGAAATGGACAATGCATATTTCATTAGTTTATTACTTTTTGTAAAAATCTCACAAGAAATAATTGTACATTTTAATCATTTAATGTACTTTATTATAAATTTTAACTCAAAAAGGTAGCGCTATTGACCTGACCCATGACTACACTGTAAAAAATATTTAAATTTCATACGACCCACGATTGACATAAAGTTACAATGGACCAACGTATGACTTGTTACTCGGTGGTTTTTAGGGTTGCTGATTACAAAACCGGTTTAAAAAAAAAAATAATTTTATAAATACTAATTTTTTTACGTATATATTTTCGTTATGTTGTATATGAGTAGGGTAAGGTGGGATGTTACTAATCTCTTAAAGAGTTTTGAGTACAAAAAATTTATTTAAAGAGATATAAAAAAATAGTGAATTAAATTTAATTTCAATACGTTCATAATTATAATTTTCTCATGTTTCAGATAATGAATTAGTTCCTCATATTTATGTAAAATTGCATTTTGATGAAGATGTTGGAGACGAGTGGTTTACAGTGTACTTAATAAATTATCTTACAAAAGTTTTCGATGGATTAATTGCTAGAGTTACAGATTCTGATGGTGAATTTTTGCTGATTGAATCAGCGAATGCACTTCCATCATGGGCAAATCCAGAAGTTTGTGAAAAACGTGTATTTATTTCAAATGGCTCAATTCATGTAATTCCCGATAAGGACAAATCTTTATTGGACAATTTAAATAGTATTAACAAAAATGCTAATTTGTTTAAATTATCCGAGGCGGTGCAGTCTATAATTCAAAAGAGAATAAGTATTTATCCCGATGAAATTAAAGAGCGAACACATAAAGCAAGAGCGTATTTACCCGAAAAGGCTGCTTTTATGCTGCAAGAAGATCCTGGACTGATAGCGCCAGCCATAAGAAGGCTTTTTCACTCGGATCCATTTGAACGTAAGGTAATTGTAGATTTGAAAATATTTTTAATCAAATTCTTCTTTTGTACAATAATTATTTACTGTTACTTCTTTTGTAGTTTCTTGATATTCTTCAAAATGTGACAAAAACTATCTTAATTATTCTTTAATTAATATGCCTATGTCAGGCTTTGCACTCATCTACTAAAACCTACTATTTACTACTTTTTTTACGTTATACTACTATTCGAAATTCATTTATTTTCAATGGCATGCCATTTTCAATATCTCGTATTTCCACAAAATTTCGCAAAAGAATTCAATTATTTTTAAAAAAATTGATTAAATTCAATTATTTTCATAAATAAAATTTTCATAATATTTATTCTATTTCGAAAAAATTAATTATTAAAAAATAAAATTATAAAAATAATATTAAATTTATTATTAATTAATTAATAATTAATTAATTATTTAATTTTTAATTTATTTAATTAATAAATTAATTATTTATTTATAATTATTAAATTCTTATGAAGAATTCAATTAATTTCAAAAATAACAAAATTTGTCACAGAAATTCAATTCTTTTTAAACATATTTTAGTAAAATTTTGCGCAATAATTTAATTATTTTTAATATAATTTCACATGAATTGCTCAAAAAATGTAATTATTCTTAAAAATTTAATTTCAATTTCCTTGGAAAAATCAATTATTTAAAAATTATTAAAAAAATATTTTAATAAAATTGTTTGAAAGAAATCAATTATTTTAAATACAATTTTAATTAAATATTTTTGAAATAGGTACCTAATTCAATATTATTCTTTTAGATTTTAATAAAATAATTCTTCACAAGAATTCAATTATTTACATAAATAAATATTTATAAATAGATATTTTCGAAAGAATTCAATTATGTCGATAAATAATAAAATTATTCCCGAAAATTCAATTATTTTGAGGCATTTTAGTAAAATTCTTTGAAAAATTCAATTATTTTCATAAATAACAATATTCATCACAAGAATTGAATTATTTTTAAAAGTAATAAATTTCTTATTGGAAATTCAATTATTTAAAAAAATTCTAATGTAATCGTTCTCAAGAATTCAATTGTTTTCAGAAATAATGAAATGCTTTTTAGAAATTCAATTATTTTCCAAAAAATTTAATAGAATTCTTTGTAAAATTTAATTATTTTTAAAAACTTTTCGCTATTCACTGATTTTCAATATCTTCTATTTTCATAAAATTTTCAAACAGAAATCAATTACCTATTTAAAGATTTTTTTGTAAAAAATCTTCGTAATAATTGAATTGTTTTCAGGAATAATAAAAATTTCTTAGAATTAAATTATTTAAATAAGAATTTGCTTAAAAGTAGTCTAAAGAAATGAATTATTTAAAAATTATTATAAAATCCTTCGCAGGAATTAAATTATTTTTATAAATATTTAAATTCTTTAATGAATTCGTTGCAGGAATTGAATTTATTAGCAGGATGAGAAAGAAGTATATATTTTTGATAAAAATTAGGAAAAAATCAAGAAAATAAAAAATATGGAATGGAATTTTTGTCAGTTTTGTCAAGTGTCTAAAATGAATTTTTTTGGTCGTCGAGTTTAATTTTTCGATAGCTACTTTTTTCTACTTTTTTAAAATTAATTATCGAGTGCAAAGTCTGCTACGTCGATTGATTTTACTGATCAACTTTTCGGTGTTATCATATTTCAAAGTATCACGATCTTATTTAGAAATTAGTTTTTTATAATGTAACCTAATGTCCTGCATCAATGGTTGAAAGCAGAATTTGCAATGCAACACAAATTAAAATAAAATGTATATAAAATCAATAAAGAAAAACAAAGTTAGAGTGAAAATTCTGAAAAATACAGGTTGTATTTGGTTGCATGATAAGGAAGAGAACCTAATTTTTGTACATAATTTTCATACATTGAAAACTTTTGTTTACTCTTAAACATTAACAATATATTCATTCAGGTTTGTCGAGGAATGAAATTCTTTCCACCCGAGCAGAGAACAATGGTTAATATTAGAATGACAAAGTGTTTGTACGCCATGATAATGCACTGTCGATACACGGGTGATCCAATGACAGGCTGGAATTTACCGCCTGTTAATAGCACAGCATACAGCGCACATCTTCTTGGAGTTAAAATTGCATGCGGCTTGGAGATGTTAATTTCAAGTGCGTATGAAGAGCAGAGAAAAAAAGCAAATGATGCTTCTGCTGAATCAACCAACGATCGCTTGAAAATGCGGGAAAGAACGTTAAATGCCTTCGTTAGTCGTTTGGAACTTAGTGGTTACTTTAAGGATCTCTTGGAAGGCAGCCAAGAACGAGAAAGACTTTTGCAAGTTGCTAAAGATTATTTTTCCAATAAATCCGATTCTAATAAGTTACTACATATGGAGCCTGAACATGATAAGGAACGAGTTCTTAAAGTATGGGGAAACATACAGACAAATGATGTGGATTTCACAGGTAGAAAATGCTATTTTGATATTTCTTTTATTTTCCAGGAAGAAACTTCCAAGTCATATTTTATAAAAATATTAGATTAGTAGTAAATTACAGTGAAACAGTTCCGCCGTCTTCAAAGTTAAATACGTTTTTGTTAAATTTTAGTTACTTTTTTATTTTTAGGCCATGAGGAAACTACTTTAAGTCCTTCAGATAATGATGACTGGCTCAACGTCAATCCAGTAGAGCTTGAGAATCTTTTGGGTGAGCGTTGGGGAGATAAAAGCTCTAAAACAGACAAACTAACTTCTCAAACTCTCAGACGAAAAATACAAAATTTTTTGAAAGAGACAAGTGGTGTAGAAGGAGTACAATTATTTAGGTAAGTACATTCCATTTATTGTTTTTAACAAATAGTTACATTTTCTTAATTTTAAAAGAACCATATTCAATTAACTTTTATTCAATTAGTTTCAATAATTGCCCAATCTAATAAAAAACAAGGATAATAATATTTGACCTTTTCATTTGACATAAAAGTCATTCAACAAAATTCTCATTTGACATAAAATTCATTTTACATAAATTACATTTGACATAAAAATATCGGCGCGAATTTTAAAAATAACCAATTAGATATTATCAAGAACATTGTGATCAGCCAATTTTGAAATTTGCGCCTATATTTTCATGTCAAATGAAAACTATGTCTATGTCAATTGAATTTTATGTCAAGTAATTTTTAGGTCAAATGAGAATCATGATAAATGACTTTTCCGTTACATAAAATTTATGTTAAAAAAGAGAAGTACGTTAAATGACTTTTATGTTAAATGAGTTTCATATCAAATTAAATTATGTCAAGTGAATATTATATGTTAAACGAGCAATGAAATTCATGACAAAGAATGTTCATATTATGTGAAATTTATGTTAACGGTGATGCGAAATTTCAAACAGTGGTTATAAAAATATAAATATAACTATTTCTCTCGTTTCTCTTAAAATAACTTGAAAAGTACCTATATATATATATATTAGATATTAAATTGTTATTTATTTAACCTGAAAAATATTAATTTTAAGTTAAATTTTTTTAAAGTTATGAAATAGGGAACATATGTCAATCTCATTACATTGTCCAGCTGACACTAACATGATGATACAAAATGTGAATCGATAATTTCTCACGGGATTATACTGGGTCTTTTGGATCTCACATAAAAGTCAATAAATTTTCTTACAGTGATAATGACCTTAAGTTGGACGTGGATGACTCTGGTAAAATTGAGTTCGACACTGATGCATTCGATATTGCTTTGCGAGATATTTTGGATTTGGCTGTACCTGGAGGTGATGGTGAATTTGAAGACAGTTCCGAAGAATCTTTAGGTGGAGATGATGAAGATAAATGTGGTGAAATGGACGATTATATGCGTCAATTAGACAATGAACTAAGAATGGAAAAGAATTTAGGACTTGTGCAAAATGAAAAATTATGTGAAACACCAAAAAGTCCTGATAAAATTGAATCAAACTTACTGGAGAGCTTATCAAGAGAAGCAGGCGGTTCTGGTCCAACAGGAAACATAATTGGTGGTCCAATTCGAAAGTTTATGCACTTACAATTACAATCACCTTCAACAGTTCCTCCCGATTTACAAAGTTAATATATCAATTTTATAATTTACAAAATATTTAAAATAATTTTAATAGATTTCGACTCTTTTATGTATTCTTTGTTTTTTATAATTTCAATAAATCGTTTTATTTTTTTATAAATTTTTAAAAAGCAGTCTTTTATTTTACTATTTACTTCTATTTTTCCCGTTAATAATGTTCGCAGGTGGGTAATATTTTGTTTGTGTAGAGAGAAAATGACTGACTTTTCTTAAACTTTGCATCATCAGTCAATGCTGCCTAAAAATGCGTATTCTATACGAAATAAAACTATTTCTACATTTAGGTACTATTATCCAAGTATCATAATCCAAAACTTGAATGAAAGTTATCTGCTTGGAATAATCTGCGAACTAACAAGTGTACGAATAGTATCATTCATTCTAAATGGCCGTAAAGAATATAATTATAATTATGCCAAGTTAGGAAAATTGACTATCGAACTATAAATTCTTTGTAAAATCTCGCTTTTACTAATTTGGATATCGTGAGGATCGTCAGTGATCACTGCAATCCGAAAATGTTGTATCTAGTCAAGGACGAATTTTCGATGGTCTAGATCGTTATTGAGGTGCATGAATATTTACCAAATGTCATTTAACGGAATATCATAGAAAGTATCAAGATCTTGAAACTTTCTTTGATATTTTATAAATTATGATATTCTATATCCTTTGGAAATAATTCGTTTTTGTTGAGGGATGAACTCTGGAGCGATCGTGAGTAACGTTGATGTCATTAAAATAGTAAATGATATTTTTCCTTTCACCGCGATCCACCAGATCCGTCCATACAAAAGAATAAAAAATATATTGTTCTACAATACTGCAATCAGAATTTTAACAACAATATATATGTTTTGTAAACAATTTTATTAAACAAACTGATCGTTAATAGTTTTTACTTATATTGTGCATTTCTTGACTTTAAAAATCAATTTTTTGTCGATTCATTGTATTTAAATACTCTGGCAAGATTGCATTGATAATGTGCCTTTATCACAACTGTCTATACTATCCGCGCTTGGATAAATTCATTCTGTCCTTTCGAGTAAAAATTATAAAATTACTTCAACATAACTGTAACTACTTTTTCTAAATCATATCGACGATTATCTAATTGTTAAGACCCACTATTAGAACATCAGATAACACCAAACAACTTTTCGGTGACTATAAATGTGACACTCGACAGTTGAACGTCACAAATATATATACGTACAAGTTATTTATGCCATGATTTTTTTTAGTCAGTTTTTGTAATTGCCTCCGATTTACAGTTCTAAGTCACGAGAGGGTAAAATACTTATATAGATTAATAAAATCTCACTGGTATAGTTTATAACTTACAACAAAACTTACAAGCATATCATTATAATATTATTTCGTACAAAGCGCGCATCATCTCAATCAATAAGAAACCATTATGTACTTTGCAGATTTTACATATAGTATTATTTGAGTACATAATCTAATAATTATCAAAATATACAAAGTGGTGGCGGTTTTGTGTGCAGGATGACAATTTCGAAACAATTTATAAAAGGTGAACAAAAATTTCGTATTGAATTTATTTCACATAAGATAAATGAATGTTTAGAAAGAAGAATTTTCCACTTTATTATATCAATCTACGTAATTTATTAATTAACATATTCTCCTAACGCAACGTATTCATACCTATTTATAATTAACAATTGAGCACATCGAAAGAACTTACAAATACACTAAATCGGATTATTTGCAATTAGCCATTCAATGCAGTAATACAAAAAATTTTGAGGCCATATTTACGAATGTAATACTTAAAAGAACAATATTTCATAAAATAAATACTGTTTTGATTCCAATATGGCGCTTCACATCATTAACTAAGTGGATTAACTGATTTAAGGTATCCGGACCAACCAAACAAGAACTAAAAAAACTGTTTGTAACATTATAATTTTAATATTTTCTGTTTTTTGTTGAATCCTGCGAAAAAGCACATTTTGGAATCTAAGAAATTTAAGTACATAATACATATTCTGCACTGACAATCAGCTCTTCAGGCTGTTTACAACCATTTGTGTATCCTTGTTTTAGTCTTCTGGATTTATAGCAAAATTTCTTTTAGTATTAAATTTTGAAATATAGCCTAAAACTTGGTTAGAAAAGTTTGTACATTTCGGCTTTAAATGGTTAATTATGACCATATTTACATTACAATGAAGCTCTGTGTAACATAAAGTAAGGAAAAGATACCGATACCTCGTTCAAAAGAAACCACTCTCACATTGCCCCTCTAAAACAACAGGACTGCATATTTTTGTAACCTCGCAATATTTTCTTTATTGTATTTTTTTATTTAAATACAAAGCATTTATAAATTGTGTTTAAATTTCATTGTAAATGTTGACAAGGTTAGGAAGTAAAATATTATATGTATAGTTCGGTTGTTTTAAAGGGGCTACAGAGAGTGGTTTCTTTGTTTCTTTTGATCGGAAGTATCGATACCACCGGGAAATGTAATAAAGTGATAATAAATTATTTCTTCTTACTATACCTGAATGTAAAATGTGTCATTTCGGTCACTTAATAATGCGAGTGCAAAGTAAATGGTTTTAGCACGAATCGCTTCTGTGGGGTTCCAGCCTAAGGGAGACAAAAAATTATGTCATGTAACCGAAGAATTGATCTATTGTACAGTATCGGTTATCGGACATAGTTACGTAACTGTATCCTTTCATTACTTTATGTCCCATGGTGTATGCTGCCTCATCCTCATACATTCCTGTTAGTTAACTAAAGAAAGCTAGGCATAAACACAGGAGTAGGGCAACAATGGAAGTGAGTGAGAACTCCTAAAACTTCTCTCTCACCTTCATGATACTTACTATGACGCTTACTTTCTGCTTCCCATATTTAATTATACAATTCAATAGTTTGTCGCAGTTTCAAATGTTACATTTTGGAGACCTGACTGTATATCCCTAATGGCCGGTTCCACAACTGTATTAACCAGAGTTTAAGTCGGTGAAATCGGTCTAATTACTTTACCTCAGATAATTCACCTAGATCCAGGAAAGGTCCTGGTGGCAAGTGGACTACACTGAAAAATACCATTAGTAAGAAAAGGAATGGAATTTTTTAGTTAATCCACTTGCCACCAGGACCCTTTTCGGATCTAGGTGAATTATCTCAGACTAATAAGTAATCAAGTTTACCGATGACTTAAACTCCGGTTACAACAAGTTGTGGAACCGACTCTAAGCATAGTAGATTCGCAAACGTATTGCATGAGATAGGAAAGGATTGAGATATGCTTGTATTCTTTTCTATCCCATAAATATCACATTCGTTAACCTATTGTACTTGGGGCTTGTGCGACGTTATTAATCAGATAACAGTGATTTTACTCAAGTAGCTGAAATCGTGGGAGACCTCCTCTACATCAAACCATTTATCCAATGCCTTCCCTTTATGACCTTTATGCACCAGGAAGGCATCAAAAAAATAATATTCTGGGGGGTGCGACTCATGATTTCACCTACATTATTGGAACCGCTGTAATACGCACACATTTAAGTCTCAAGGCTATTTTGCAAATGTGATTATATATTACAATGGCTGTTTATTTCATCGTCATTCACCCGGTGCCATCATCGAGTGAAGAAAAGTGCAATCATTATATTCATTTTCATTAATATTCTTTTGAATCTATCCAATCAGGAGATTAATTCCGTGTTAACACTGGGTGAACGCCGCAAACATCCAATTTTGCTTAAGGAGGGTGGTGACCCAAACATAACTTTAAAACTAAAAATTAATTATTATCTAAGATATAAAACTTCAATAAAAGTTACTTTTATAAAATTCTGAGAGATTTAGTTCTATAATTTTCAGAAAAAACGATGTTCAATTATAATTTTTTGAAATGTTATTTTACACGGTCAACATCCTCCTTAAATGATATCTTTTTTTAATAAAATAAATCATATATTGCATTTATTTTACTAAATTATTTATTGTAAATATAAATATATTATTATATATGTATACAATTAAAAAATAACGCTATTACTATATTGAAAGTTACATAATTCAAATTTTTATTGTAATATTTTTCTTTACTATAATGTTTTAATTAATTGTTATAATTAATTTTTTTATTTAAATATATGTAAAAATATGCAGATGTTAAAATAAATAAGAATTATATAAATGCTGACTTTTCATTTGTGTAAAATAGCAGGGTTGCTACAGAAGTCTGTTTTTAAATTTCCATGACTTTTCCAGGTTTTCCAGTACCAAATCTGATAAATTTCCAGGTCACCTTTTGAACATTATAAATTAGAGCAATTTTTGAAGAAAAATTGGCCTAATAATAATAAATTAGAATTTTCCTGTATTATAAAAATATTCACGTTAGATTATCTCTATTTGATTATTAAAGCACAGACAGGGTGTCTACTGAAAATATGACTTAAAATTCCAGGACATTCCAGGACAGATTTTTTATTTTTCCAGGACATTTACATGTGTAATATTATTTCATATTACGATTAACATAATTTAAATTAACCTACTTGAACAAAAATATTAATTTTATTATAAAAAGAGTTAAAAATCAATATTATATATATATAGATATCAGATTCTTTAATCAAACGACAAATTAAAATTATTTTTTAATGGATCAAAAAAATTATTTTTTTAAATTTGAGTAAAATTTTTAAATTATTGAATATTTAAAAGCAAAATATAGAAAATTCAAGGATATTTCAGGACATTTCCAGGAATTCCAGGACATCATTTTTTAAAAGAAAAAATGTAGTGAAAAATATTAAGTGGAATAAAATTCCAGGCATTTCAAATTTCCATGACATTTCCAGGTATTCCAGACCTTTTTTTAAAAAATCCCTGACTTTTCCAGGTTTTCCAGGTTCTGTAGCAACCCTGATATAGAAATGTGAAAAAGTTTACCTTTAATATTGAGTCTTTCATGCTTCTCGGATATTTTAATCACAAATATCTCCTCAGGTGCAAACCGAAAAAATCCAATTTCGCTCTTAATATTTAAGTTTGAGCTTCTTTTACATCCTGTCAAATTTTGGCGATGGAGAACGAGCTGCTTTCTAATTTTATTCATGTTTAAAAAATCTGCTTCCATGGAAGCAGATTTGCAAAAACGAATTTGTTGGTTAAAATGCAAACTTCTAATAAGCCTCTATTAACGTGGAATCGGGTAATAAAGCACCTTAAATTAAAAGTTTTTTGCCTAATTAAACATATAATACTTAATAATAGAGTTATTTAATCAGTCTGGTATTATTTATTTTCATTACATATATTAACAAAGAATTAATTAGAAAATTCATATTATTGATATATAATTAACATTCAATAACATCTGGTTTTAAAAAAAGAAAACTTACTTTAAATTGTTACAGTTGCTAAACGTTGCGTAAAAATGATAACATATATTTTATATGATTGTCAGTAATAAGTAAGATTTTACAATTTATGAAACAGTGGTGCAATATACATAGTTACGTAATGCCGGATAAGGACGATACACTTTTACTACTTACTACGTTATCACTGTGCCTATAATGCGTTAAAAATTATATTTCACATTAATTGTTACATAACATTTAAAAAAACAGGTGTTACTCATCATAAAGTTGAAATTATTCAAAATATGAAAATTTTCAATTAGAAAAATGATTTTTGTAAAAAATAAATTACATTATTTATGTGACCTTAGGAAGCTGTTTTGTTTATTTATTGTGACATTTGTTAGTTGATATATCAAATGTTCTTAACGTAAAAAATAATAATTGTGCAAAAAAATTTTAGAAAAACTATTTCTAAATAAAAATTTTGAATTATAAAAATATTAAATTTATAAAAATTGTTGTTATTAAAATGATATATATTTTTAAAAAAATACATTATTAAAAATTAATGTTTATAGTTTGCAGAGATAAATACTGAATTAAAATTTTCCTTTTAAACCATACGATTAAAATGAAAAAAATTTACTAACAATATACGTGTAACAATTGCAAGAGAAATTCTCAATGATCTCTTCTATCGCTTACGGAATTGCAAGAGACATCTTTTATTCGTCTTGTTAATACTTCCTTATCCAATTTTTTTGCACAATCATGGTTATTTAAATTTTTCGATAATGTATCGGATAAGTTAATTCTATCAGTCGACAACATACTAGAATGGTCTAACCTATGATTCTCGAGATTTTCGTTTTCACTTCTCTCAGACCCATCAGATCGTAAAGATTTTTTCAAACTATAATCGAATTTTTTGAGATCGTTCTGAATACTCCTTAGAGAATTTGACTTATTGCATTCGTACCTTTTTAATATGTTATTCTCAATATCGTACCGACGTTTTATTAAATCGGAGTTTAAACACTCTGTGTACGATTGGTCTTGTCCTCTTTCTGCAAACCGTGGAGATAAACTGTCATCGTGCAGGTGTTCCAAGTCTATTCGATGATTGAAACTATCAATTTCGTATCCACTCTTTACTAGCTGATTCTTTAGTCCTGCCTTAGCGGCTAAATGAAGATAGTTGTCGTCACCGATCGGCGCTTGTCTGGAAAAATTAAGAGAAATTATTGCAAGGCAAAAACTTTCATTTTGAGAATTCTGTTTTGACCAATTTTTGGAATAAGTATAAGGAATAATTAAATTTGGAATCAGGAATAAGCATTTGCAAATTGTTAATCTCAGGCTTCGCACTCATCAAGTATATGCTACCATTTGGGTACTTTTTTAGATTTCAGCCACTAAAAGTTACTATTTCTATTTCAAATTCTTTAACACGATTCAATTATTTTCAATATCTAGTATTTTCATAAAATTTCGCAAAAAAATTCAATTATTGTAAAAATATTGATAAAATTTATCCAAAATTAAATTATTTTTATAAATATAATTTCCACAGGAATTCAATTATTATTTAAAGTAAAATTTTCATAATATTTATTATATTTCGAAAAAATTAATTACTTACAAAATTCTTATAAAGAATTCAATTATTTTCAAAAATAACAAAAATTTTCCAAGAAATTCAATTCTTTTGAAATATTTTAATAAAATTTTTCGAAATAATTCAATTATTTTCATAAATAATAAAATTCATCGCAGGATTTAAATTATTTTTAATACAATTTTACAGGAACTGCTCAAAAAATGTAATTATTCTTAAAAATTTAATTTCAATTCCTCGAAAACATCAATTATTTAAAAAAATGTTTGTTTAAAATTCTTTGGAAGAATTCAATTCTTTTAAATACAATTTTAATTTAATTTTTTTGAAATAATTCAATTATTCTTTTAGATTTTAATAAAATTTTTCCCGAGATTTCAATTATTTACATAAACAATTCTTCTAAAGAATTCAATTATGTCGATAAATAACAGAATTATTCCCAAAAATTCAATTATTTTGAGTCATTTTAATAGAATTCTTTGCAAAATTCAATTATTTTTATAAATAACAATATTCATCACAAGAATTCAATTATTTTTAAAAGTAAAAAATTTCTTCTTGGAAATTAAATTATTTTAAAAAATTCTAATAAAATCGTTCTCAAGAATTCAATTATTTTCATTAATAATAAAATGCTTTTTAGGAATTCAATTATTATTAAAAAAAATTTAATAAAATACCACACAGACATTCAATTAATTACTTTCAAAAACTTTACTAGAATTCTTTGTAAAATTTAATTATTTATAAAAACTTTTCGCAATTCAATTATTTTCGATATCTTTTATTTTCATAAAATTTCTAATCAGAATTCAATTATTTAATAAATTTTGTGTAAACATCTTTGTAGGAATTAAATTTTTTCATGAATAATAAAAATTTCTCAGGAATTCAATTATTTAATTTAGAATTTGCATAAAAATAAGTCGAAAGAAATGGATTATTTAAAAATTTTTATAAAATTTTTCGCAAGAATTAAATTATTTTTAAAATATTTAAATTCGTTGCAGGAATTGAATTTATTAGCAGGATAAGAAAGAAGTAAATATTTTTGATGAGAATTAGGAAAAGAGTCAGGACAATAAAAAATATGGAATGGAATTTTTGTCAGTTTTGTCAAGTGTCTATAAAACATGTTTTTTTGGTCGTCAAATTTAATTTTGCGAGAGCTACTTTTTGCCAATTTTTTAAAATTAATTATCGAGTGCGAAGTCTGCAATCTTGTACTCACTTGCTTCCGTATTTCGTGTCTCGTGCTAATTTTCTAAAGTAGGATCTGTGTTCACACTGCAGAGCAATTGTTGCATCCCTAAGTGCAATCAAAGTTTTGAAGCAAGATGGAACGTCTTCTATTGGCGATCCTCCATTAGGTAACACACACATTTCACTGGCCCCATAAACAGCTTGACATTCACATGCACTCATCAACGTCTCCAATCGCGTCATATTTGCAAAGATTAGAGAGTGAATTCTTTGCAAATCACGGTCAGGATCCAAAACCATTCGTAATCCAGCTTCAAATCCTGGAGATACTTGACTACATCCCAGGGCTCCTTCCGTTGCAGCTCGACAACTGTCATGTAGAAATAGATAGAAAAAATAATTATTAATTTTAAAATTAAAATAAATGTAGACGAATATTTTAAGTTTAGAAATATAAATTAAAGTGTCTACACTTTAATTTAATCTTAATGAAAAAAAATTTAATATAATATGTGGACGTCCACATGAAAAGGGCCCATATTGTCGGTCATTTGCAAAAGTAATCCGTATTTTAAAAAAGGTGGTGTGGAAAAATTTAAAACCTCTTGATTTTTCATCTTTAGGGTGTCCTGGACTGTAAAAAATTCGTATCTGAATAACTTCCCAAAAGAACTAGAGATATTGATGTTAGAGTCTTTTTTTCGTAATTGTCGAAATGAAAATTTGGATATTGCGTCAATTTTCTCATAATAGAGACTGTCAAAAAATTTTTAATAAGTGTAATATCTATTCTTTTTCTTCAAATGACACAATAAAATTGTACCTAATCATTAATCTTGTAAAAAAATGGTTTTTTTAATAGAAAAATTCTCCTTTTTAGAAAAGGGCCCATATTGTCGGTTTTTCGTATTTTCAAAATTAAGAGGGGGCGGATGGTTTTAAAAATTTAAAACCTACTGGTTTTTAATCTTTTAGGTACCCTGGACTGTAAAAAATTCGTATCTGAATAACTTCCCAAAAGAACTAGAGATATTGATGTTAGAGTCTTTTTTTCGTAATTGTCGAAATGAAAATTTGGATATTGCGTCATTTTTTTCATAATAGAGACTGTCAAAAATGTTTTAATAAGTGTAATATCTATTCTTTTTCTTCAAATTACACAATAAAATTGTACCTAATCATTAATCTTGTAAAAAATGGTTTTTTAATAGAAAAATTCTCCTTTTTAGAAAAGGGCCCATATTGTCGATTTTTAGTACTTAAGTACGAAATTTTTAAAAATTAAGAGGGGGGATGGTTTTAAAAATTTAAAACCTGTTGGTTTTACATCTTCAAGGTGCCCTGAACTGGAAACAATTCTTATCTGGAATAACTTCCATAAGAAGAACCAGAGATACAACAATTAGTTGATATCGCAATCTTTAATTCCGTTTTTCTCGAAATGAGGTTTTTGGCGTTCTAAACTTTGAAATTCCGTAACTCAGCGAATTTTTAACCAAAAAAGTTCTAAGACCACTCAAAATTTTCCAAATTTTGCCAGGAATATGCCCATATAGATAACTCCAATAGTGCCAAAATGGGCCCTTTTCATGTGGACGTCCACATATATTAAGTAAACAATTATGCTACGTACCATAGCCAATGACCATTGATGTAAGCGCTGGGATGATATCTTTCTAATCTATTACTATTCGTATGACAGATTTTTGTGAGTATATCAATCCAATCCTTCTCTTCCACACAATTACTGGCTTGAATATAAAGAGCTCTTTGCCTTTGTACAATTTGAAACATATTTTTCATTTTGAATGAATTCTCATTTAACCTCTCTACAGCCAAAATCTCTTCTAAAGATATTCTACACAAAGGTTCTTTGCCTGTAACAATCATTACGTAAAATTTTATAGTTAAAAACAAATAAAAAAGATAAAAAATAAACTTTAATTACCTTTTGTTTTTGAGTATGTTAAATCTTCGGTAGTCAGTCTAAAATATCTTTGTTTAAAATTCTTACGTCCAAAGCGTTTTCTACCTTGTGCTCTCTTAATCATTATACTGTAACAAATTAGAATTATTTTTCATTATTTCAACACGTAAAGTATAAATTGATAATTCACCACTTTTATATTGTGACCTGGCAAGTTAATAGGGACCTTAGGTACGAAAAAATCAATTTCCACCTTTTCAGTGATTATTATAGATGATGTGCTTTTCACAATTAAATAAACAGCGCACCTCTAGCTTTATTAAATACTAGCTGTTGTACCCGTCTTCGACGGGTTTTAGTTTCTACCAATACACACGGAGAGAAAAATCAATTGTTTATAGCATGAATGCTTTGTATTTTAAAAGTATGAAATGTTAGTATACTATAACTGCAAGAAAGTATACTGCGATTGCAAGAATCCTATGCTTTTTCGGTATTAGTCCCTTGCAACTGGCTATTAGGCCACGCCCAGAGCCTGGGCCGACCAATCACATTGCAGAAAACTTTTACCGAAATCGCATAGGTTTCTTGCAATCGTAGTATGAAGAACTTCATGCTAAAAAGCCCAGATATTTCTCTCCGTGCATTTAGCACTGTTTCTACCAATCTGGAAAATCAGGAAATAGCCGGGAATTTAATTTAACCGGAAAAAAATTATAATTAGTTACCATTAGCTATTTCGGTAGGAAAATATTACTATTTGAATAATCTCCACCCTTTAGCAAAAAATAAAAAATTATTAAAAATTACCAAAAATTCGAAAAACCGAATTTCTTAAAATTCAACATTTTTTCCTTTTCTTTTGTGGCATTTAGCTTTATTATTTTTGTGCTCTTCAAAAATACTTTACTTATTTAATAGTCTCCACCCTTTGGTAAAAAACTTAAAATTATTAAAAATTATCAAAAATTCGAGAAATCGAATTTCTTAAAATTCAACATTTTTTCTTTTCTTTTGTGGCATTTAGCTTTATTATTTTTGTGCTTTTCAAAAATACTGTACTTATTTAACAGTCTTTACCCTTTGGTAAAAAATTTTAAATTTTTTAAAATTATCAAAAATTTGAAACACCGAATTTCTTAAAATTGAACATTTTTTCTTCTCATTTACTGCATTTAGCTTCATTATTTTTGGACTCTTAAAAAACACTTTACTTGTTTAATGTTGCGAATGTTACTGGAACATTACGTGCTACTGGGGAAGTAGAATGAAAATGATTATTATTCATCAATATTTTCATTTCTATAGGGTAAATGCACTAGTAGTCGGACACTTAAGGATACAATCTTAAATTATGCTTTTTTTCTTGAAATAGCAAATATCTACTGTGTTTATAAGCACATTATTAATTAAAGGAGTATTATATATATATATATATATACAGACAGAAATTTTTTTTCTTACATTTTTTGAATTCTAATGTCTCAAAACGAAAAAATATATAAAAATTTTCAAGCTTGGAGCAATGTACAGACAGAAGTCTGATTTTATTAATATAGATTTTTTACAAAAGTGCTTTAAATATGGACGTAGTTGGCTAAAAAAGCGTAAAAAAAACTCTGTACAAAGTAAATGAATAAAAATTCAGCGGATTGGCTTGAAACTCGTTACACGAAGATTTTTGAGGTCGCTGGTTATACACAGCGTCATGTAAAGATCTTCCTATTTCAAGAATAAATAAAAACCGCGACAGTAAAAATGAACAAGAACAATAACAATCCTAAAAACTGCAGAGTAACGAGTTTCAAGAAAATCCGAACAATTTTTTTATTTTGTCCGCCAATTGCATCTACTATTTCGAATCAGAAAAAAATCTGATCCAAGATTAGTAATCGGCGACCTTAAAAACTTCCGAGTAACAAGTAACAAGTAACAAGTAAATTTGATAAACTTGCAAAATGTTTTAAGGGTGTTCGATCAAGAACGGTATTTAAAAATGGCGGTCAGAAGTTATACTTTTTTTGATACGAATGTTTATCGCAATTGACACATTGATAGTAATTTAAAAAGAATGAGCCTGAATTTTGAAAATTTTTGCTTTAATTTGAGTCTAAGAAATTAAAGACTTTTTAGCATATGCAACAATAGGAAGTAAACTAAGAGATTTCTATGTACCCGGTGGGTGCTGCCCTCTGAAGATATTTTTTAATAGCACTAATTTGTTTATATTTCGCTTGTGTGGTTCTAGTTTACTTCCTATCATTCTATTTATGTATAAATATTCAATTTATTGGAAGAAAATGAAAGTACAACCATTCAAGATTCCGGCTGATTTTTTAAAAATTGCGATAAATGTCTCAATTGTGATAATACATAACCCAGTAAACGAAAACTAATTGAAATGAATTAAAAAGAATTCACAAAGAGCTTTCGTGAATCCCGCTTTGTGACAAATACGAATTGGAGCCATGATGCAATTTTCCTGAATTCGTGAAACTGTATTGAACTTCCGAACCTTCTATCCGTACCAATTCACTGGACAAGTTTTGAGCCTTTAATTTTTTTCAATTCGTTAGCACGAATTCAATGCATTCCTTGGCCATTTCTTTCGAATGCGAATTCGTTTGGACAAATTGGTACATATTGAATTAAATTCAATTGAATATACAAAGAGCTTGAGTGAATCCCGCTTTGTGACAAATACGAATTGGAGCCTACCAAAAATGTTAATTCGTTTCAATTCATTTGAATTAGTTTTTTTTTACTGGGAATCCATTTCAGATGAAGCATAAGTTCTGACAGCCATTTTTAAAGGTTTTTCTTGTTCGAACACCGTTAAGCGAATTCATTTGATTCTTCCTTTTTTTGCGCCATATTAGATGCGCCATTATGAATTTTGAAAATCTGATGCCAGATTCGTAATCAGCCAACTCAAAAACCCCCTATTAACGATTCCCAAGCCATATCAACGTGCAAAAATGTCAATATCGACTTGTTAACTTTTAGAACGTTTTCTCAAAAACTTGATGTTAGACGTAAGGTCTAGCTTTTAACTTACCAAGTCACATTATACAGATTACTGAATTAAATTACTTTAATAAGTAGCATTTCAGAGACCTAAGTATGTCTCTAATTTATAATCTTTTTTTTTTTGTAAACTGTCTATACGAACCTTTTATCACTTTCAGCATTGAGAGCAAGAACAGAACATACTGTGTTATGTGAGAAATTCTTTTCAATTATTTAAAAAAATGTAAAATGATAATTGTATTCTAACTAGACTTGAACTATTATTATATTATAAAAATCATTCTAATAGTTTTGAATAAACTGTTTTGCGCCTAACTTGATATAAAGTTTAAGGGGGGATCCTACTTTAGAAGGCCTAAAAATAGAGCTTTTTTAAGAATTTTTTTTTTTTAAGTAGGAGAAAAATAACTTAGACCTCCGCGCTTTCTGAGATGCTTTTGTACATATTTTCTATTCTTGGTTCAATTAGAAACTATGTACATATGTTAACTTTGAAATGTTTCTTTAATTTTATGTTTCCAATAAGAATTGCGGTCTCTATCGTGCCCACTGTTTTTTAAGTCCAGATGTGCACCGCCGTCAACAATTAATTTTAACTTCTTCAATTTTTAATATTTCATGTCAAAAATTTTTTACAAATGATTCAAATATGTACAAAAACATATCATTCGCCTTCTTAACAAAATTTTTTAAAAAAGTTCGATTTTTTGGCCTTCTAAAGTAGGATCCCCCTTTAAGTAGATCTGCATCTTTTTTAATATTCATTTCTCAATGTGGCGCTATATTAGACGGTACATTTTGTACTCAACATTAATTATGTTCCGTGAGTGACATTAGCCAACCCTTTTGCCATTTTAAAATGTGAATCACAAAGTTTTATTTTCGTTTGTAAAAGTGACTTTTCATTTTTTTAAATAATTATACTTTTTTGAAACAAGCTTTATCATACTATCTTTTCCTAAAAATGTTATAACTGAAAAGTATACAGTTAAATTTTTACGCACAAATATTAAAAATTACGCAAGTTATGATTTTTTAAGTTAAAAAACATTATTTCATGTTTTTTTAATTATTTAGGTACATTAAATAAATGACCATGAAACACCCATGTTTGCGGTTCAAGAATGCTTTAGGAAATGTATTTAAGGAAAAATTAATGTTTACCCTTCTTTTAGCATAACTGGTTGCCCGTGATGAACCACCGTCCGATGTCTAATGGTGCTACCTCCACTAGTTGAAATCAACTCCAGGAACTGTTTGACTGCTTGAATGTGTCTTTCAGTATAAAATTCTCTGTAAGTTGAAAAAATGTTGTAAAGTTAAGTACCAAAAGCATTAATTATAAAAATATATACTTTATTTTTATTTTATGATTTTCGGGCTCGCTAATTGCGAAAATGTCAGTTTTTTAAAATTCAAAATGGCGGATTCAATATGGAGGACATTAGGACAGATTTTAAAACACACAAGGGAAAAGTTTTATAGTTATGTTGAAAAAATTTGTGGCCTGAAATGATTAAAACTAAAATGAATGCACACCTGTAGACACACTCCATATATTCCTCTTTACAAACACTTCCTGCTTCGCCTCGACAACTTACTAAATTCCCAAGACTCTGTATCGTCTTCGAAATTAATGTTAAAGTTCTATTCGTTTGTGAATCCTGAAATAGAAATTTGATTGTAAATTAAAGTCGGCTTAAAGCATTAAAAAACATTTTTGAAAGTAATGAGTAATTTCTTACAATTTGTTCGTTAGTAATATCAAATAATCTAGGACCCAAAATTGCTGGAGCGAAAAATCTTAGGAAAATGAATCCACTAATAACAGAATAGCGCACTTCTTTATTTCTTGGAAAATGAGTAGCGGCAAGTTCCCTCAAGCAAGCAAACATTTCACACATTAAAGGTGGACATCTTATTCCAGAAGTCGTTATCGCCGTAAAAACTCGTTCGACGTACTCCTGTTTTAGAAAGAAAACAAAACCAATTCTTTCAGGGTAGTTTATTATACAGGTGCATTACTTTTTAAGATTAGAAAAGGAAACACAAGTGATAGTGTACCTTTAGATTTGAGAGATTCGTTTGAATAGTGTTTGCATCTTTTATTCTGGTTGGATCAATTTCACATGGTTTCTTCTCCGAAAACACTTGCTCCATTGCTGGCCTGAGAGTGCTGTGCAAGTAGTGCAAGCCTGCAAGGCGCATTCCTTCGTCCATCATTTTGCTCACTAATGTGTTCCCTCGGAAAATTGTAGTAGGATCCCTAAAATATAGAAGTAATTATTAAACTGCCTTTAACAAATAAAAGTTGTTGGTGAAAAACAATATCAACTCTGAAAGCAAAAATAATGAAACTAAGGTCAATAGAATTAAAAAAGTATTTACGTGAGTTTGGATATCTCATGGCTAGCAAGAGCTCTCATGACTGCAACTAATTGGCAATGATGAACTAGAACGCGAACAAGAGGTTGCGCCGCATCCATTTTACACGACACGATTTCTCCCAAAATATAAACTGCCGAAGACGTAATGGGTTCGACATGAACACTTTGTAGCAAAAGACTTCGCAACTTGTCATACATCTCTGAAGAAAATACATGATCAGCCGTGTAATGTATTTTTAAGCGCAATGATCCCAGTCCTGGTAGAGTTCCCGGAGGTGTGGAATTGTTAGAAATTTTACTAGGTCTATGTTTTGCTGATCTGGGTTGTAAGAAATACCTACAAAAGCAATTTCAAAAATTAAGGCTTATTGACACTTACCACACTATGATTATCATAATAACAAATATTTATTAACATTGGAAACGTGTATCAACCACTTTTTAATTCGCCAAAATCGACTTCGGCATTTCGCAAATTTAGGCCATTAGGAGAATAACTTGAATCGTTAAAGGACTACTGGCCTGATCATTTTTAGGCCACTAGAATAAACACAGATTATAATTTTACTTTTTTCGTATTTCAATTTCTTATTTTAGTTAATTATAAATTAAATTAAATATTATGTAATAAAAAAACCTACAAATAATAATAATAAAATCGTTTATTCAAACAGTTGGTAATTATGTTTTATTTATTACAGCAGGATGAGTTTAAATGACATCGAGAATTGCATAAGATGTTTGCTTTGAAGCAAGCACATGTAATTTTGAAACTGCAAAACTCATATTAAAACCGTCAGAAATGAATCTATTTTTGGAGTTTTCCATTTGTCTATAGCATAAAAAATCATCTTATCATCCATGACCTGTACGAACGTGAGCTTCTAAAAGTTTGTCGTAAAAATTCTCCATTGCAACCATGAAAATTAAGAGGTTATTAGGATCACTTCTTTTTAATATGACTTGCGTTTTACCTTCGATTTTCAAAAGTTCGTCAATAATCCTGAAAAAATTGACTCTTATTTTATGCTGATGATGCTAAATTGTTTACAGAATTCTGAGGATCTACACATAGAAGTGGTCAATTTTTATAACTGGTGCAATAATAACTCACTTGATGTTAATCCCATAGAATGTAGATTGATGACCTTCACAAGAAGAAGGGGGGCAATTGATTTTCAATATAATATTGTGGATAACCCACACTATGTTATTGAAGATCTCAGAGTTTACTTTACATATAATCTTAAGTTTAACACCCACGTTGACACCATTGTGTATAAAGTGAGTACAATTTTACGTTTATTTGTTCAGAACTTGCAAAAATATTAGTAAAAATGTACTTTGCAGGACCACCTTCATACGATCTCACTCTGGTGTACAGATAACAAACTCCCTTTAAGGGGATTTGAACCTTGATGACGTCACAGTTTGTGCAAAGCATTAGTTTTAAATCTGTGACGTCATCATGGTTCAAATGCCCTTAAATCATTCCAAATGTCAAATCCTTTCGTTCAATAAATCAGGTTTCCCTTTTCTTTTTACTTATGCGATTAATTGATATAACGTGTTTGTTCCCAGAGTGACATCGACCTGTGACCTAGGGGTTACTTTTACATATGACTTTAATGTCAATGATTATATTTCCTCAATGCTCTCTACATTCAATAAATGCCTCGGCTATTTACTAAGACCATGAAAAAATTTTTTAAATATTAAAACATTTACACTTCTATTTAACGCGATGGTCCGATCTCCTGCAGAATATGCATCAGAATTATGGTCTCCCTATTTTAAAAAATACTCAGAACAAGTCGACAAAATTCAGAAGCGTTTCCTTAAATTTTTAGTTTTTAAAAAAGACGGCAAATACCCGCCAAGAGGCTGCGATTATTTATTGTTATGTCAACGTTTTAATTATGAAACATAAGAAAGACGTAGTATATCGGTCGCAATGTTTCTATTTAAGATTATCCGGTATCTCTTTGACTGCCCAACACTATTAAACTTGATTAGTTTTAGAGTACCTCTCATCTCGTCTCGAAACTATGAACCTTTCTATGTAAGTAAAAGTGACCTACAGTTGATTAATAGAACTCCAATCTTTTGGGCTTGGTCTCATATAAATCAGCTCTATCATAATATGAGCCTTGATATGGATTTGTTCACGATATCTCGAAATGAATTTTTAAAATGTCCGTACAATCAGAGGTCACCTTAACAAAAAAGCAGAAACATGCAGAGCTATAAGAACAATTTTTTGCCCTGGGCAAAAAAATGTTATGTCGCCTACTAATTCTTCTTACACATTTTAAATGAATAAATGAATGAAGTAATTAAAATCAGAGAAAATGACTTGTACTATGTACTTGTATGTCAGGGTGAGAAAAGGAAAGACTAAAAATTTTGTCGGAGGCGTCCCCTGAGTACTAGTCTAATTGGTGTGTTCAATTAAAGGCTTTTTTCGAGTCACGGGAATTACTTGATCAGTGGCATGATCTACTAAAAAAACTTACCATGCGGTTGTTGAATTGGTAGATTCTTTTTGCAAAAATCCTATGGTAACTCGCACCTCCCCTAAAAATGCAGGTTGCTCCCCCATTCCAGATGTTGTGTGCCACAAAGCAATAACTACTTCACCCACTTCGCAATTGTCTATTGAATAATGAGAAACATCCTTTTCCTTCGCTTCTGACAGTTCTTGCTGTAAACATCACGAAAATAATTAATATTTTAAATTCTTCATCCTTGAAATTATTTTTGTGCAACCAAATATTAATCGAATTGAAGACCTACGTCAAATATAAATGTTTCATCGAAATAAGGAGATGTGGTTTTCTTTTTAACTTTTGTGCGCTTTGGTATTTGCTTCCCATTATTGTACATAACAGTAATTGTCGCAAAAGGATCACAGCCTCCATTTTTAATTGTTAATTCACTACACTCTATAATTCTAAAAGAAAAAAATGATTATATATTTTTATATAATAAAAATATATTAAAAAGATACTTTTAGTGAAAAATCACCTGACTGATAATTTAGGTTGATCACATCCAACTTGAGGTAGCAGAGCGAATTCAAGATGAACTTTCCCCTGCACCTCAGAATCAGCGTCAACCGGCCTCAAAGGGAACCAATGTTCTTTATTATGATAAGTCGCTAAATCCTCTCTTTTTATCGCTACTTTACCTAGAATTTTATCTTGTTTTAAATGACGATCTGTATCGAAGACGTAAATGCTCAGGTAGCGAAATTTTCTAGGCACATCGAATTGAAATTCCTCTCCAAAAAATGGACTGAAAGTAAAATTATTGAATAAATTCTTTTTATCACTTGAGTTATTGATGGAAATTTGTCAGAAAAAGAAAACGAGAGACTCTTACTTAAGTGTTCTTGCCATTGTTGTAGTACGGAATATTTCTTCTTGGTCCAATGACAATGCACAGTACACATCTCTTGTGCCTGGAGATCCATGGCTCCTACTTTGAAGATTCTTTGCCTCCCCTGGTCAAAATTTATCAAATTTTATATTATATAAATAATATAGCTTAATATTGCTAAAAATATTAAGATTTTTTATTATTTTTTCCTAATAATTGTGAAAATTAACTATTTAAGAACAGGAATTTTGGAAAAGTGACCTAGGATCTGTAATCAAGCTGGTGTCTTAAACAAATTAAGAATTAATCTCACTAAATTTCACGTTCTTACCTTCTCCAGATCTAAATCCCCAGTATTCTTTGATTACACTATAAACCAGACTCTATTGCAAAGAGTATTTTCCACCTGCGATTCAGGTGTTATTTTTTACTCTAATCTAAATTTTCACGAACATTACAGATTTTTTATCCGTAATACCAAAGACTTTAAACAACTTAATACTATCCTTACTTTGTTTAACTCTCTCGTTCACTCAAAAGTTGAGTATGCCGATAAAGTCTGGAATCAATATTTTAGCAAATACTGTGACGAAATTGAATACATTCAAAAACGTTTTTTAAAATTTTTAATAGTTTGACGGTATTTATCCTCTTCAAGACTCTGAATACTTGCCTATGTGTCAGCGGTTCGATCTTTACATCTTAAAAGAAAGATGAATTTTGCCAGGATTGATATTTATCTTCGACTTATTAAGATTGCAAATTGTGTGTCCATATATTAGGCGAAATAAAATTTGAAATACCAAGACTGTCTTCAAGATATCAAATACCTTTTTCTATTCCAATAACTACAATCTAGCCACGAATTCATGGACCCTATTTACTTTGCATGTTACCATTGTAATCAATTGTAATGAAATGTTTCGTAAACTTTTTATTAATATAAATACTTTCCAAAATGTAATTTCTCGAAGATGTATCTCACCAATAGTTCAATAGGACCACGGAGAAACATAGTTATACTAAATAGATAAATATCTCTGTCCTTTTCTAACTCATGCTTTGCGTTCGCAAAAAATATTTGCGAAGCAGTTGTGTTTCGGCTTAGGCCTCAGCCTTAATTGAAAATATTAAAATACTTTTCAACTTATTTGCATTAACAAATTTGGGCAATTGTTGGAGCAGGAAAGTCCTTTAAAAATGTCTGTCAGAACGAATTTTTATCACAAATTCAGACAATTATCGCAATATTGAAAAAATTATCCGGAATCTTAAATGTTTATACTATGATTTGCACCCCAGAAATTAAACATTTATTAACAAGACACAAAATGAGTGCTATAAGAAACATTGCCAGAGGGCAGCACCCTACGGTCACATAAAAATTTCTTAGTTCACTTACTATTGTTGTATATATATTATTATGTTATAATAAATCTTTAATTCCTTTGGTGAAAATTAAAGTAAAAATATTCGAAATTCCGGCTGATTCTTTTAAACTTACGATAAATGCTTGAATTGTAATAAAAATCCGTTTTAAATAAAGTATAACTTCAGACCGCCATTTTTAAATATCTTTCTTGCTCCAAAACTATACTTTTATAGAGAAAAAAGGTTCTACATTTTATTTACACTGTAAAAAAAATTTTCTATAGATTTACAGTTTTGGTTTGTAAATTTACAGAAACCTGCAAAATTACGTCTGTAAATTTGGGAAACTTAATACTTTTAATGCGACAATTTTACAATTTTCTGTAAACTTACCACTATCAGAGTAGGTAATAAATAGACACAATTATTACCTACTTTGATAGTGTGATTTTTTACAGTTTATAGGTTCAAAATTTCAGTTTGAAGTAAAACAATCTTTAATTTCAAGCTCTTTAAATCTCTAATAAAATAGTCAAATTTGACTAAATGATCTAATTGACAAAAACTTTAATTATTTTGACCTAACCTAAAAGTGACTTTAACAAATAATTACTTATTACTAACTGATGTTTTATTAGTAGAAATATAATTTAAAAGAGTGGCAGACTTTTTACTACCAAGTTGGTAATTTTTAACTAATTCAAATTTATAAAGAGGTTTTATTGTTTTATTTAATGAATAAAATCCGATTTTATTCTATAAATCTTGTGATTTGAGTATATTGTTTAATACTAAAAATATTTCGAAAACACTATTTTTATTTTTAAGAAACGAATTTTCGAAGTTGACAGTCAAACGAGTATTGGTAACAGTGCAGCGTGCGTTGAAATAGATCACATGTTATATTCGACAGTCAAAACATTAAACCCACTTACAAAAACTTTTTCTAAAAATTGTGATCTACATGCTTTATGAAAATTAAAGAATTTGAAATTAATTGTGCTCTATAAGCAGCATTAATTAATAAATATGAATATTTTTAGTTAAAAAATAATACCATAATAATAGGTTTGCAAAATTTTGAACAATATTTTTTTTAATAAATAGTTTAAATACGAATTTCAGATATTAAAAATTGTCCTTTCTTAAAATTTGAAGCTTTTGTATAAAAAAACATTTTTCTCATCTACGAATAATATTTTGCTATATCAATAAAATTATTAATACAAATAATATGTAAAGTATTAAACAATTTTGAATTGAAATTCACATTTATTTAGTTACTCCAAGCATTCGAAATAAAGAAAAAAATGTAAAAAAGAAAAAAAATGTAAAATATGAGTGATCTTCGTATGAAATGTCCCACATATTGGAGTCGCATTGATTTGTATGGATTACAGGGTAGGAAATCCGGTGTAACTTGCGTTCCATTTAAAACTTCACACTCCATGAAATAAAATAAACAATTGCAAACTCCACCTAAAGATTTCTACACAAGATGACTTCTCTTAATAAAAACTATATATAGACTTATTTTTTCTTCATTCGAGAATATCGTAGGAGTTGAAATATAGGCGACACTTTATATTTATGAAAATAGATGCGAAACAAACACTTGAAAACATTATTTTACAAACTCAATTTAAATTCACTATTTATCACTAATGTATGAAGAGAATGAATCATTGAATTTAATAAGAATAAGAACTCGAATTGCAGTATTTTCATACCAATTTTAATCTTTAATCTCTCTTCTACGCGAACTAGGCGCGTCTCCTCGGCCATGTTACCTCCATGACACTACACCACATACTGCCATTAGAAACTGAACCACCATGATCTGACTCTGACTCAAAACTGACTACACGCGACACACAATGAAAGGATGAAACGCAAGCCGTTCTTTCATTCTGTGAATGGAATTCTGTTCCATCGTGATCATGATTCTGTTCCAGAGGCTCAGGGCCGTAAACCACAAGTGCACGTAGCTTTTAACGTTTTTAATAACGTCAGCAAAAAATAATGCAAAACAGACAAAAAAAACTCGTCAAATTTGTAGATTGACAAATTTAACTCTTTTATACTTGCTCTGCAAATACAAATTTGATCCTCCTCTTTTTAAACGAATTTTAACAAATCACGTGTAGTATTATTTATCGATATATCGATAATCTTATACCCGAAGAGAAATCGTCAATCAACTTTTCGTCAATTTTTACTATATTATAATTAATGATTGAAATTTTTCACAAATTTGACGATTTTTTTACAAATGTTAATTAGTTGTAATAATTAATATTATTCTATTATGTTAAACTAATTTACTTTATTAGATTTTAGGCATTTTTTTATTAAATTTTTAATTTTCATCAAATTGGCTTCAGTTTGATGAAAGTCAAAATTCCTCAATTTAATGATATATATATAACATAATAGAAAAGTATATATAAATTGATATAAAATATATAAAATATATAAAAAGACCAAAGTTCGTAAAAATAAAAAATTTTTGTATAAATATTCTTTATTTAAAATAATGTTAAATTTCTGTGGTTAAATTGTTTTTCAACTGAAAAGTAATTAACTTTAACTATTATTTACTTTACAGGTCTCGATTAAAGTATTTCATCCAAATTTTTGAAAATTAAAGTTTGCAAAATTTTAATTACAAATTTTAAAAATAATTGAATTCTCAAAAGTTTTAATGAAAAATCTGGAAATAAAAATTTGAAAATAAAAAATTTATTAAAAATTATCTTTAAAAAATTAATATATTAGTAAAATATATTATCGCTCGTCAAATTGATGTCAAAAAATGGTAAAAATTTTTATATAAAACATTTTTCTGTGTTCTAAATTGAAAATGGTATTTTCTACATTTATGATTTTAAGATCAAATAATAAAGTTAATAAAATTAATAAAAATATACTTATATATACATATTTTTTATTAGTTTCACCAAATATTTTCAAACTTGACTTTTTCTCTTTTCATTACGTTTTCTGACCTCAGGAATTCAAAAATAACATTTTTAAAAAAAAAATCATTCCGTGTGTAACAAAAATAGTAAAACTTAATGTTAAAAATTGCTATTAGGTATTATTGTTACTTCTTCTATTTTCAAAGACAATATTTTTTTAAAAAATTAGAAAAACTTACTTATATAAATAGTACCCAAATTTTAATAACATGTATATAAAAAAATTGACATTGAATAAAATAGTAAATTTTGCTATTAAAAAATTTTAAATAATTATTTCCAGAGTAAATTTTATAATATATCAGTAGTAAATTTTATTGAGAATTAGTAAAAATATACTTTGAATTTAATAAAATTTATTTCGAAAATAATACAATTTGTCAAAAATTCCAAACAACATATGTGGATTTTTCTTAGAAGTAAAAGTTATAAATATATATTTCATATATGTTATCATTTATGAAAAAAACTCTGATGAAGAATATATAGAAAGATTTTTAAGTTTCATGAAACTGAAACTTTTCCAAAGTTTACGAAAAGTAAAAATTTTTATTTTCAATCGTAACTTAAAATTTTTACTATCTTTCAGAAATCGAAAAAATAATTTATTTAATTAAATATTATTTAATCCTAATGTGTGTGTAGAATATTTTTGTGTGCCTATTTGTATGTAAAATTGTGTCACCTTATGATTTTTGAAGAAGTAATTTATGATTTATCTCATTTATCTTCAATTAAGCGGCCGCATCGTAGAAGGGCACGTAAATTTTTCTCGAGCGAAATCTAAGTCCCCTGAACACTCAAAATTCAACTTTTAAATTTAAATATTTTAAATACACATCCTTATAGAAAATTTCATTCCGCATCTTTTTTTCTTATGAAAGTTTTTTCTATCTATTACCGTTTTCGAAATATTTTGGAAAACTGTTTTTTTGAAAACTGTAAATTTAATGACATTTTTCACTTCAACTCGCGATATTTCAGACAATTTTAAAAATTTTTCAATGAAACAAAAATAAAAATACATCTTAAGGTATTCTACGAATGATAAAAAAAGAAAAAAGTGGTTTTCTTTATAAACAAAATTGTTATTAATTTTTTTCCTTATATTAATGTAAAAATCATGAACTACAATCTTCACGGCTCTCGTTTAACGGGCGAATTTTGAGTAACAGAGAACTTTCAGTGAGAAAGCTGGGAGTGTTGTTTCATAGGTTATGATCAGTGGCGCGTGCTATGCGTTTGGTCGCTAGCAACTTTAAACATTTACCATTTCGACACTAATTAATTATTAATCTTATTATTTTCCAGAAAACTTTTTTGGATCATAATGAACATAGCTTTCTCACTGAAAGTTCTCTGTTACTCAAAATTCGCCCGTTAAACGAGAGCCGTGAAGATTGTAGTTCGTGATTTTTACATTAATATAAGGAAAAAAATTAATAACAATTTTGTTTATAAAGAAAACCACTTTTTTCTTTTTTTATCATTCGTAGAATACCTTAAGATGTATTTTTATTTTTGTTTCATTGAAAAATTTTTAAAATTGTCTGAAATATCGCGAGTTGAAGTGAAAAATGTCATTAAATTTACAGTTTTCAAAAAAACAGTTTTTCCAAAATATTTCGAAAACGGTAATAGATAGAAAAAACTTTCATAAGAAAAAAAGATGCGGAATGAAATTTTCTATAAGGATGTGTATTTAAAATATTTAAATTTAAAAGTTGAATTTTGAGTGTTCAGGGGACTTAGATTTCGCTCGAGAAAAATTTACGTGCCCTTCTACGATCCGGCCGCTCAATTTTTAAAATTATTTTTTCAGGAAAAATTAAAATAATTTAATAGTAAAACAAGTTTGCCAGAAAAATTTCATTTTGTTTTTCCCTGACTCAAAAGAATAATCTGCTGCAGTTTAAAAATGATTATCTACATAAAAAATGTTTTTTATGATATATTATTTGTAAATATCTTTAATTGTAAAATTATCTAAAAATTAATATTTCTTTAGATAAATATTTAATCATAGGGTAAGGTGTTACTAATAACTTGAGGACTTTTGAGAATAAAAAATTTATTTAAAGAGATATCCAAAAATGCTTAGGACCGTTTGAAAGACGTTATAGTTTAACAATATTCGTATGAGTTATTGAAATTTATTAAACTAATTGTTAGTATTCTTAAGAAGTTTTTAAAAATATTAATAGTCTATAAATTTAAATTCTCTTTTACAGTGGAGCATCAAATTTTTTTAAGTGATAAAAAGAAAGTTAATCAGTATCGCTAGAATCGTAAATAATTTCCCAATGCTTATGAACAAACTCATTAAATACAGAACTCATACTAAATTCTACATTGCCAAGAAGTGTATTACAATATCTATCATTGTATGATCGCATACCATTCACTACTTCTAACTCAAATCCATAACGAAGTAAGGCTCCCATTTTCAAATGAATATCTTCAACTTTATGTTGACTCCATACTAACAAATTTCCATTTTCAATCAGTTCGGAAGTAACGAGCTGCGCGTTTGTACCGCCTGCAGCGTAATTAACATCAAAAAATGCATTTCGTATTTTACACTCAATCCTCATTTTAAAATTAATCCATTTATTTGAAATATCTTCTAAACACTCAGGATTAAATTCGTCGTCAACTTGTACATAATTATGAATATTATCATAATTCATGTCATACAGCTCTGGCTCTATGGTCTGACCATTGATCTTCACCTTCCCAATATGCTCCAAATATACACGGAGAAACTTTTTTAATACCACTAATTCTTAAAACTGGTGAGACATTTTAGTATGTTAGGTTAGATTCAAGGGAAAAACGACATAGGTTATAGAAATTGCTATTGAGACTATCAAAAACACTCATTCAGTATATATTTTACAGTTCTTCATAAGGAAACTAACGAAAATTAGTATGTTGTTTTAGAAAGAAAATAATAATTTTTGCAAAGTTGGGAAAGCCATGAATTAAAAAGAAACACAACAAATTAATTGTCTATAGATACTCATAGAGACGATAGTGATACTTGGATCTGATGGTAGATGGCATTAGTGTATGTCACTGTAACTGTAGGTAAATATATTTAACACGACGTAAGAACCTAACCTATATTATTAACGCACACACGCACACGCAAGTAAAGACACGACGATTGGTCACGGAAACCGAAAGATCGCACGATTCGTTAGAAGTACACAGCTGAATCGTCCTTATATATTAAACGAGTGGAAAAATATGTACCTTCGAGAGAGAGCATTTTTTTAAATAACTTTCTAATCAAATTATGTAAATAAGTAAAAGTCGTGAAAAAAATTATGTTATATTGAGGAACAGTTCTTGAATTTAATTTGGCATGAGGAGACATTCACGTTTATTAATAAAAGGTTTTTTTCTTTCATACACGTGTGAATTTCAACTTCGAAAACATTAGGGTTAGTTCGCGACGTCAGGTGATGGACTCGGTGATGCTCGGGTGAAATCGGTTAAGTCCGCCCGCAGTCCTTCCAAAATTTATGATTAAACGAACTTACAAGTGAAGTTCGATCATAATTATATGAATAACTTGTTCGAAGATATATAACTTATGTAGTACCGCAACTTGTTGTCGGATGACGCCACTGTTCAGAGATAGAAAGAAAAAACTCACTCCCTCTCTCTCTCTCTCTTTGTCTATCTCTTACTACCTACTCTCTACCTTTCATTTAGTTTAGAGAAGGCTTAATTAACTAATAATAATTAATAATTATTAATTATTATTACATATATGTATATATAGATATATCTATATTTTTATGCAATATATGTATTGTGACACATATTATATACAATCATAATAATTATATTTTATTTATTTTGCTTATTGATTTATTTTTATATTTTATTAAATTGTTCTTATTATTCTATTTTTA